TGGACAAGGGCTGACCAAATGTTGGTCATTAAAATATAATTACATCCTTGCAAAGCACCATCGTACCAAAGTCCATGAACAAGAAACACCAGCTGACTTTAAGACAATGACGAAGATTAAAGCTTAAAAAATTTAAAAACACAGAGGATAAAACATCTGAAAGCAGCACCAGATCCTTCACTTGCAAATAAGGCTAGTCCAGCTTAAGCATCTCAGTATCCTCTTTACTCTCATTAAAATGTTCTCAAATAATCCTAGATACTCAATTTCATGTAACCTTAATCAGACTTATTTTATTTTCCTTTTAATATTCTTACTTAGGCATTAGTATTTAGTGAGATACATATAGAGATCTCTCTCTCTCTCTCTCTCTCTCTATATATATATATATATATCTTTCTATATATCTATACCCCTGCCCTGCTTATATGTGATTTTTAAAAAATTATTTCTTAAAGAATGGACAGTTAAGCAAAGCAGACTGTATAATTCTTTGGTGTTAACTTTTGGACAAACCTGAAATAATGGGAAAATTAAAAGTTATTTTTTAATTAGGTCTGTATTCCACTTCTGAGTATAAGACATCACTTTCTTTATAATTGTATCTGCAAAGTCATGATGATTTTTTTTTCCAGCAGTAACTTAAGAATGGTTTGAGAATGGCTATTAAAAAAAAAGAAGAAAAACAATAAAATCCACCTGAACTGAAGAAGGATGAGGTAAGTAATTTCATTCTAAATCATCTAGATAAACTGAAGAATCTTCCTCCCTCTCCATTCAGGTATAGTATTAGTTGAAAAAGAGGAAGAATCCAGTCAAATATCCCAAGTATATGGATTCACAATTTTAAAATCATGTTATGCGTTAGGGTCCAAAATCCTTTAAAACTTTTGAGAATTTCAAAAGCTAAAGTTGGAGCCCTACTGTAAAATGATGCAATTCCAGAAGTCGTAAGCTATACATATGCTACAGTACTTTGTAAAATTATCTGTTATTTCTCTGGGCTCACTTTAGGTGTAAAATAAGGAAAGGAGTACCAAACAAAATTAAATTTCTTAAGTTTAAGAATTCTGAGAATATATATTAAACAGTGCTTGATTATGAACTTCTTTAAGACTTGGTCCATGTCTACACTTAGTCTGTAGTCTCATTTATTGATGCTCAAACATTTGTCAGCCATCTGATAATCCCAAATTCATATCCACACTCCAGGCATACTACTCGTGTCACTATTCAGAATGAAGTACTGCACATACTGAAAGTATGACATACGTGGGAAGTACAAAAAGGCCAAGGTTTTTTTGTTTTTTTTCCTGAATCTTGTTAGATGTGTAATAGTAATAACCATCATGCTGCTTTTATGACATGCAAAATCAATGAACTAACAAGTTTTCCCCTGCAAGAGATAAAGCAATTTTAAAAGCTATACTTTTTAAGAATCTAGTCTAGGCACAAAACAACAGCAGCAGGCCTATCGCAGAAAGCCAGGCTTGCTTGCTGAAGGCAGGCCTTTCCTGTACCAAAAACAGTCTCTATACTATGATTATTGATATCACGTCACATAAATACACACAGTTCATTAATAGGTTAGATAAGACACAGCTATTAAACCTACTGGCAGTATTACTCATTAATGAGCCTTTATGGCAAAACAAATTTCCCTGCCAAACTGACTGCAACCTAATGCAGACAGTGGCTATTTCTTTATCTTAGTATCAAATGAGTTGGTCTTACACAAATTATTGACTTTGGAATATTTTAAAATGATGAACAAAGTCAATCCTCTGCTCAAAGCCCCATCCCAATTAATGGTCTATATTAGATAAAAATGTACTGTAAAGTCTTCATTTCTAAATATGTATGAGTCCTTCAAAACAGCTGTTCTCAAGCTGACTAAGGGGTCAGATATCTTTTGGTGGGGTACATCACAGTATTTTTGTATTAAAATTAAAATAATGATAATTTTCTGCTAAACATGTAATATCTCATGATATGCTAGATTTACAGCAAGTGTCAGATGCATAGTAAAATTTCCCCAGAGAAAAATCACTATTGAGAAAATTCTATGCCTTAACTGCTTTTTTGTTAATTGTGAATATGCCATTATCTGATATAAGCAGCAAAATTCTTTGGGCCAGTGTTCAAAAAACCAGAGCTCTGCAAGAGCCAAGTTCAAGGTTATAAAAGTTTAGAAGTACAAAAGACCACTTCAATGAAGAAAAGCTTACTGCAGTGCACAGAAAGTATGCTCTGCTAAAGTTCAATTCTCAGGTCACTTTAATCACATCACTAAGTGGGCTCACTTCAAGATATACAATCACAGCAAATACTATTATATTTAAGGAATATAATGAAATTTTATTCACTGCCCCTCAGCATGGCTAATGCATCTAGCAATAATCCAAATTCAAAAATTCAAAATAATACAAATTCAAAACTGTTTTTTCTGCCCTGATTTGTGCTCACATGTTAATTTTTTATCTTCCAATTAAAGATCTTGTGTTTAATAAACAAGATGGTCTACTTTAAAGCTTAACTGTCCATACAACCTGAGGACCAATAAATCCATCCTGAATTTTGACAATTTTCTCAAACTGTACCTTTCAAATATTCCCCAAAATGTTAAGACTCCATCCCAAATATTGAGAAAGAGGATTCTGAGACTAAGCTGAACTGCCTTCAAATAATTTCAAACAAATTGGCACACAAACTAGTATTTTGCAAGAAGAGGCCATTGCCATCGCAGTACAAGCACTTGAACTGAGACTTAACAAGGCAATATTCTTCTTAGTTCATTATAGTGCAAGTTTCCACATGGGAAGCCCACCAGATAAAGATGCACATTAAAAAATGTAAACATCGAGAATTCTCATATTTTAATTGATACCCAGTTATTGCCAACCTTTCCATCTTCATGTGAGCATCAAGTGCCTCTGTGTGTCACATAATGCAACTTCAATTTCCATTCGTTAGAACTTGAGCACTTTGTTCCGTCAACAGGAAGAGTTAATGCTCGTCTGACTGAAATGCAAGACACTGATGGATTACCATTTATTTATATGCAAAATCAAGTGCACCAGATTCATATAAGGTACCCCAATAACCGATGTGATATTCTGAAACCGCATTTTTTAATTTTTTAAAAAGACTACTTAGGTATTTTTAATTGATTAAAAAGTTAGTTCACCTCCACCAAAATTATAAATCCTTTCTTTCATTGTTTTCTCTCGGGCCCTGAAATCTAGACAGGGTGGCCTCAGCAAAACAGAATTAAAAAAAAAAAAATCATCATTCATTAACTGACCAACATCTGTTAAGGTAAAAATACATTAGTTTAAAAACACATTCAACTTTAGCAGAGAAACGCTGGAAACATGTGAAAAAGCAGGAAACTGACTTCTGGCAAGGTGGCAGAGCAGAGCCATCATAGTTTCACAGGTCAGCCCTGACAGTGGAAGCAGCAGCAGCCCCAGTACCACACGGGACAGGCAGAGCACGGAAGAGCCTTCCATTATCCCCCTCAAGTTCCAACAGCTGAAAAGTTCATAGTTTTCCTTCTCATGTAAGCCATATTGTTAAATTTGTTAAATCACCTTAATCCATAATGGAGTAAGAGAGAAGACACGTAAAAATATATAAGAGGTGATTATAAGAGTAATTCATGGATAATTTGAAAACAATCTAATATTCACATTAGGTTAACAGAAAGATACTGTATTCAACTCACGCCACACATTAGAAAGAAGTTATATGTGTAGAGATCATTCCGAGAAAAATCAGCCTAAAGAACATGAAAATGTCACCAACAACTAATAAAGGGAAAACCTAACGATAACAAAAAAAATCCTCTTTTAAAATAGACTGTCTCTAACCGGAACATATTTAAATGTTTTACTAGGAAAAAATATATATATAAATGATTTCATACTGTGATATTATATGCTGAAAGTACTGCAAGGATATATGATTAATTTACAACAAAAACTTAATGGTTAAATTTGTAACTCTTAAACACTTTCTATGTGTGCTGTAAAAAAACACTGTATTGAGCATTAAAACAGTCTTGGAATAAAGAGGAACAGTAACTTGTCTAACCTTTGATCCTTATGAAGACACAGCAGTCCAACTGAAGAGCTAAGCTGACTGGGGAATGGAGTTAGTAGAAATATTAAAACGAAACTTTTATTTAGCAAATTCTATTTAATCAATCCCCAGATTTTATGGTGAATAAATTATGGTACCTTGGCAAAATATAATGCTGCTAAGGGAGGAAGCAAGGTGAAATCACCCATGACAGAGGGGTGACTTTTAAGATAGGGACAGAAGACTTGCAAACAAAATGGCCCCATAGCATCTTACCAGACAGCTCCTCTCTCCCACAACAGCAGCACCCCGAATGAATTTTTAGAAATATCTATCTTCCTCGCTAAAATTATTGGACCCCTAGAGAAAACAAAGCCTTTTGTCCAAAATTAGTATTCTTTTCTTTTGCCTTTCATTTCTTAAACTTGTTGGCATTCAAATGGTAGTTAATGTGAAGGCCACTGGGCTCCTTCCGAGTATATATGGTTTGCTGCTGAGATGGACTTTAATTTCTTTGCTTTCTTAAAAAAAAAAAAAATTTTTGGTATCAATAAAGCCCCAGACATTCCTGGTCAGTGATGCCATTTTTTAAATTCCTGTTTCCTTTGTACTCAGTCACTTCACTGGGTTTAAGGCATGCTTTGTGTATTTAGTTTGCAAAAATAAAACTTTTAGTACAAATTTATTATTTATACAAATTTTTATGGCACAAGCAGCAAATCTGCTATTTTAAGAAAATATATAAATATCTTTTCCTTCTGTACAAATATCTCCAGTTTCCCCTACCCCATTTATAATTTTAACTGTACACGGTCTGCCTCTTCCTTCGCTGATAGCTCCCTCCCCCCCTCCAGATCTCAAGCAAACTCGTATTTACACTTCTGGGTTGGAGGCAGTCAGAGGAGGAGGGCCCCCCCTCAGGAGGAGTCTGTGCAAGGAGAAGGTGGCGGAGGGTAGAGGTGATGGGAGTAGCTCCTCTCCGTGTACGGAGAAGGCGGGCAGCTTTCATAGTTCTCTTCTGCTGACAGGTACTGGCTTCGGGGCGTGGGAGGTGGGGGCACAGGCTCGGAGTCATAGTTCAAGTCACTAGTGTAGCCCTTGGCCGTCACCACGGAGGCCATCCTTCGGCTGGGGGCATAGTCACTGTCACACACGTCTGTGCTGCAGGGCGTGGTGGGCGGTGCAAAGTGCCGGTAGCTGTACGGCCGGTAGCTGATACAGGGAAGAGAGCGGGAGAAGCAGAATTAGTTTTACAGAAGAGTGGTTTCTCTATCCAAACACAGAGGCATTAATGTGAACTTGGCCTGCAAGACAACAAACTATGACAATTTAAACTGGCACCAACCAAGAGGCAATTTTCAATGGCAGGCTGAAGTAGGAAGACAGCATTATCTTGTGAATGATGAGCCCATTCTAACCTCTGGATGTATGCTTATGTATTTAAGCTGGGCTTCCCTGGTGGCTCCACAGTAAAGAATCCGCCTGCAATGCAGGAGATGCGCGTTTGACCCCTGGGTTGGGAAGATTCCCTGGAGGAGGAAATAGCAACCCACTCCAGTATTCCTGTGTGGGAAATCCCATGGACAGAGGAGCCTGGCGGACTGCAGTCCATGGGATCATAAAGAGTCAGACTAGATTTAGTGACTAAAAAACAACATCTTTAAGTAACATTGTATCAGTAAGAAGGAACTATTCAAAGTTGTATTTAACAGTCATCTTTGGAAAAATCTCTCATTTTGCATTTAGTCTGTATAGTGGACATCAATTTCTGCCTTTCCATGATCTGTGAGAACGTGTCTTTATGATTTTACATTACTCAAACATGTTAGTATTCCCTGAACATTCCTCAAATGCTCTATGATTTACCTGATGAATAATTTAATGATGACCAAAGACTTCATTACTCTCTTTACTTCATTCTCTCTTGTACATATACTGTACAAGCCAGGCTGAAGTTTGGTAGACAGCCTAAGGAACCTATCTACCCCATTACTGATACTATCAGTACAGGGAAATTACCGTGATTTGGGGGAAGCAGTGTCAATTTCCTATATTGTATGTAGACAAGCATGTTGTCATTAGAGCAGCTCTAACTGAACACCAAAATGACAAATTCCAGGTATCCATACAGAACCAGTGAGTTTTCTAAAATGTATTTCAGAGACCTAATTTATTTTTGTACACCCTTTAAACTATCTTTTCAAGCAGTCTATAACTGTTAAGTTTGTAGCATGGCTAACTAAAGACAAAGGCACACTGGAAAGAGAAATGTACTAGTAAAATTAAGAGCTGACTTAAAAAGTGTTGATTTTCCCATCTTTTCTACTATAACTTCTTATACCATTTTATAGTCTAAGTATAGTAAAGCTGATCTTATTTCATATTTATGCCAATCAGGATTTATTTATATGCTTTCTCATCAAATAAAATGACTGCCAACAGTGGGGCAAGAGCAAGTGTAAAACTGAAGCAACAATTTATAAAACATCTAAGGATGTGCCAGGTAACACACCTCAGGATACATGCCATTTGAGGCAAGCCCTCTGTATCAAAAGAAATGGCTATAAAATAAGACCAAAAGTTACATGACCTGAGAAGCAGGTTCTCAAGCACTTTTACTACCAGTATTGACATAATGTCACAGTATTTTTTTAGGTCTTATCTTTCTGTCCAATCAACTTCCATTTCCACAGGAGAGGAGGGGGAGGGGGGGAAACACCAGAGGAGAAAAAGGAAATAGATTAACAAAATGTATCAAGTTTTGCAAACTTTCTCCCACCCCCAAGAAAATTTAAGTGATAAAAAGTTTTACTTTGAAGAAATAAACTGGGCTTAATTTGAGATGTGGGAAACAGTTAAATAAGAACTGTTTTTCAGAGACAGACAGACATAGAGAACAAACTTAGCGTTGCTGGCAGAGGTAGGGGGTTGGAGAAATACAACACAGACCATGGGAGAGAGGTACAGATGAGGAGTTTGACACGGACGTGTACACACTGCTATATTTAAAACGGTTAACCAAGAACCTCCTGTATAGCCCAGGGAACTCTGTTCAATGCCACGTGGCAGCCTGGATGGGAGGGAAGCTTGGCGGAGGGTGGGAACAGGTGTGTGCATGGCCCAGTCATTCTGACGTGCACATGCCACCATCACAACATAACACTACTAATCAGCTACAGTCCAAGACAAAGTTTCAAAGTTTTCATAAAAAGAACTGTTTTTGATGCAATTATGTTTACCTGAATCAAACAATGTTTAATTTAAAGAAATTGTTTAAAAGTAAAATTTTAGCTCTTTCCTTTTGTTTTTTCAATGTTCAGGTTTCTGCCTTTCTATTTTGACTTTTTAGAACAAACCTGGGGTAGGGAAAGCAACACTTTAAGTAAAACATAAAATCAATCAGTTCAGAGTCAAACCTATCTTATCCATGAAGTGACATGAGGATTCTGAATGAGATACTGTATAAACAGTTTCCACTTCATTTCTACACATCTATAAGGTTATATATACATCAGGGAAATCGACTGGAATGCCAGGAAACACCTTATCAAGAAGACAATGGCCACTTGAGTGATGCCAATAAACACCGGCACTAAGTGTCTGAAGAGAATCTAAGTTTCTGACTTTCTGTTGGCCTGTCCAATCAGACCGAAGACTGAGGACACACTAGGACGGAACCTGTTCACTCTGCTTCAGAGTCACAAATCAGCACAAAGGCATAATATCTCCCCCCTTCTGGAACACACGAGTCATGATTTATTCCATGCAACTATATGAGAAACCTTTCACTCCAGACTGTAGTAACAACATATGTAACAAAAGCTGAACTTAAGCTTCTTTCAGCTTCTCTCAAATTCTGTGCCCTTAATATTCCTGCTATTTTAGAAATCTCCTAATTCTCCGGACCTCCGTCTCATACCAACATTCTACTGGAGACGATCAATCAAACCTAACCTCAGCAGTAACATACTCTGAAATCAAGTCACTTTGGGGGTAACTTTTCCTGCCAAAACCTGGAGGCTCTATCTTAATACTACGAAAGCCAGGGACAAAAAAATTTGCTGCTCTCTTTAAAAAATGTAGAGTTCCCTGATGGCCTGAACAGACATTTTTCCCAAGAGAAAATGCAGATGGCCAATAGGCACATGAAAAGATGCTTGATATGGCTATTTATCAGCTAAGTGAAAATCAAAACCACAGTGAGTTATCACCTCACACCAGTCAGAACGACTATCACCAAAAAGAACACAAATAACAAGTGCTGGCAGGATGTGGAGAAAAGGGAATCCTTTTACACTGTTAGTGGGAATGCAAACTGATGCAGCCATTGTTTCTCAAAAAACTGAAATAGAACTATCATATGACCTGACAATTCCACTCTGGGGTATACATCCAGAAAACTGAAAACACTAATCTGAGAAGATACATACCCCCTCAACATTTCCAGCAGTATTATTTACAATTGCCAAGATATGGACACAGCCTAAGTGTCCATCAACACATGAATAAAGAAGATGTAGTGTATGTATACACACACACACACACACACACACACACACACACACACACAGTGGACTACACTCAGCCATGAAAGAGAGTGCAATTTTGCCATTTGCAACAACATAGATGGACTTGGAGGATACACTAAGTGAAATAACTCAGACAGAGAAAGCCATATACGGTGTGATATCAATTATACTTGGAATCCAAAAAATACAACAAACCAGTGAAAATAACAAAAAGAGAAGCAGGCCTACAGACATAGAGAACAAACTAGTGACCACCACTGGGAAGAGGGAAGTGGGAAGAAGAAATCAAAGGGCAGGGGAATGAGGTATAAACTACTAGGTGTAAAGTAAGCTACAAGGATATACTGTACAACACAGAACTATAGCCAATATTCTGTAATAACTATAGATAGAATAAAACCTCTAAAAATTGTGAATCACTACATTACATAACTGCAACTTACCTAACATTGTGCATCAATGATATGTTAATTAAAGGAAGTCTAATGCCCTGAAAGAAAAGGGTTTGTGGTAGAGGCAATACCAGCATTACCCAGACAAGATGCCTCTTCTCTACAAGATACCTGTTCTCTCTTGGTGACCACCAGCTACTCAGCCACGGCCACAGCAAACTCACAACACAAACACTTCCTTCTAATAAGTATGTGGACTTACACTAGAGGAGGATGTGTATTACCTGTAGGACCTGTGAGTGGAAGGGCTGTTTGAAGAATAACCGAATTCCATGGTGTAATGTGATCGCTCTGTGGCTGGGGATGGCGGAGGGTTCAAAATCTAAAAGGAAAGAAAATCAAATGACTGAGATAAGAATAGTCTATCCAGACAGAGACTATTAGCCTTTTCTCAACTTCTCTTCCTTCATCTCTGTTCATATTCCTCTTCCTCTTTTTCAAAGAATTAACCTAAAACAGTACTTTAGGACTGTGGCTCTCCATCCCTCAAGACACATTTAGGGGTAACACAAGGTGATGAGAAGGAAATCTGCAACCTACAAGTTACTGGTTTAAGTGTAGCACAACTGGGTTCTGATTTTTAAAACTATAAATGTTTAGAGAACGATTACTTACTTAGGAGAAATACCACATGTACTTCCTTCTTTTGGGAGGTCATAGAATGACGGTCCTGAGCCTCTCAGGAGGTACTATTCAATAGTTCTACTTTCACCTGGTATATGAAATTAACATCCAAGACTTTCAAATATGCTGGTTGCTACACAGTCAATAAGTTGAGCACATTCTAAGTGCTCACATGGTGGTGGTAAATCCTTTGGGCCTTGTATGTCTAGATTCTACATTAAAACCTTTTTATACTACCATCACTAAGAACCCATATTTAATAAATAAGTTAAACATCTAAGATCTTATTTATCTCAGCATTCAAAGTGAAGAGAGGAAAACAGGCTGCTTACTGCAGGGAAGTAAGTGCCTTTGGTGCTTGATGAACTACTTGACGATGCTCCTGTGACGTGGGCTCGGTCATAAGGGGGTCCACTGCTCCCCCCCATGATACTGAGGGAACTGATCATTGATTTACCCCGAGACATTCCTAAAATGAAGGATAAATACTGAAGTTGAGTAAGATCTATAGAAGGCATGAAATCATTTTATTCAGTCCTAGAAATTACAAATATCAATAGTCAAATAGCTCCATTTTCAAACAACTTATGCCCTCTTTTCCCAATAATAATGAAAATACCTAATGGAAAAGGCAAACCAATGTTCTCTAGAAGTGGGCACTTCCATTGAGAGCTGGCCTATAACACAAGGCCAAGAATAGTTCCTGGCCCTTCCTGCTCGCCAGAGGGGAAGCAGAGCTCTTCAAGACAAGAGGTTTTCAGTCCCTTAGAGGACCTGAGAAAAAAGGAACTGTGAAGAGCAGAAGTGCAAAGCAGGCTAGACAAAGCAATAGATCTGCTCACAAGAAAAGTAAACAAATTGTTAAGAGCATAAATTCAATGTATGGGAAATTATTTATCTACTGGATGCAAATGTTGTTGTAATCACAACCACAATGCTAAAGAAGAAATTCTATTTTTCACAAGTGACTTCCCAAATTCCACCTTTAACAAACTAGGTATGGCAACAGGAAATCATTAACAATTTAAAAACCATCTATTTCCTTACAGCTAACATCCAGAGTAAGTTATTTTCACAGGGTTTTCGGCCTGGTATCTCTTTTTCCATATTCATTACAAGAAAGGCTTCTTTTCATTAAGGGTACCAAAACACATTGAAAGAAAGCTGTACTTCCCTAGAGGAAGTCTTCCCCAAGGACAGAACATCTGGCACCCTGGCCATGCCTGAATAAACCCTCCTCCCACAGTCTTCATGTAAGTTAAAGAAAACATAAGATGATGTATTCCTCCCTGCTATCAATCAGGAATTTCTAAATCTGCAGAAAAGGAAACCTCATCTGTTTTTTCAGCCTCCTGTAATTTCTGGGCTCCGTAGTACAGGTCTCTTGGTAGTGAACCAAAAGAACTGTGGTTTATGATTCTTTTCAACAAATAGCCAGTTGATTAACTTTAGTAGAGCACATCTAGAAATGCAGTGTGCATGCGTGCTAGGTCACTTCAGTCTCTTTGTGACCCCATGGACTGTAGCCCGCCAGGTTCCTCTGTTCATGGAATTTTCTAAGCAAGAATACTGGAGGGCATTGCCATGTTCTCCTCTAGATCATCCCGACCCAGGGATCGAACCTGTGTCTCCCGCATTTCCTGCACTGGCAGGCAGGTTCTTTACCACTAGCACCACCTGGGAAGCCCAGAAATGTAGTGTGCATGCAATAACTGTATGATATATTAATGTACATGTATTCATTTTGTATCCTTTGCCAACTTCTACCAAACCATACCTAAGGTCTTCTGTGTAAAAAGAAGGTGCTAAAAGTAAGTGAACATTTGTCCTTGTAACTGTTTAAACCCAAGATAGTCTATGCTGAAGTAGACTGTAGGCAGTATTCTGTTTTCATAATGGAAGCTTGGCAATCTTGCCAAGACTTGATTCTCAGTGGGTCAGTCCTGGCTCACCTGGAAGAGATCCTGACAAAGAACTGGGGTGTGGCACGTAACCAAGGGGCACAGAAGCTGGTCCATGAACTACATAGTCGTTAGTCATGGTTTCCCCATCGCCCTTCATCCGTGGACACAACATCCTCTGGCAGATAAAGTATATGGTTCCAGACACAAAGATGGTAACAATTACTCCAATAACAGAACCCACTGTATTGGTGGCCTGTGGTGCTGGCTCCTCAGTTGGATCTAAAATGGGAATGCAGTACAGTTACATAATGGAAAAACAGCTGCAGGTTCAAAACAGTAATGGAAAGAGGGTGAGCAAGCAGAATGTGAGCCTAATGAAGACAACTCATACACGTTTTTCCTTTTTATGAATACATACACCCCATGCCCCATGGATACGTAGACATATAAATGTCATTGTTAGGAATCAAAATAAATGACTCCTAGGTGAAAACAGACATAGGACAATACACTGGAAAGTATAACTGTAAATTGATAACAAAAATGTTAAGTGAATTATAGATTAAAACATCATTAAGAAGTTTAAAAATACATATAGACAAAATCTATCCTACTTCATTCTGTATATCATAAAAATCAATATTATTTGGATATGTCTAAGAAACGTTTAGGGTCAAATGTTTTACCTGGAATGGTAAAGAAGTCAAAATCAGCTCTGAGCTTGATTTTAGGTCTGAAAAGTGACATTTATGCCTGGTGAAGATAAATTAGAAGCTACCGATGAGCATCAGCTCTCAGGCCCAATATGCTGCTGCCTTAAGGATGAGTCTAGTTGCCTGAGGGCAAGGAACGTAAGGTCTCTGGTACCGGAGTAGCTGAGGACTCAGAGAGAAAAGTCGGAGCATGAGAGGACCATGGCAGCAACCTTCATGGGATCCCCAAGCTATCTGAGACTTTAAAAGCAGGACATCAACATGAGAGATAGGGGAAAATACAGCAAAAGGGCTTATCAAATGCAGAGCATTACTCTTCTATTGAGAAACAAAATCCTTCCATTGTGAATAGTCAAGACTGTTATTTCACAACTGCATATCTCTTAAAACCTTTCTTTTGGTCCATCTCACCTCAAAACCTCCCATCAACATAGCTAAACTCATCTTATGATTAAATCTAAGAATTGAAAGAAAACAACACCACCAAGTTACATACCATGGAGGGGCTGTGGGTCACATATTATCACCTATGGGCTCTGAGGAAGAGAGGCAACCAGCCCATCTTTCTCATTTTTTTTCCCCCAGGGCTTTGGCATTCCTTCTAACACCAACTTTCAAGAAAGAATAGTTTATACTCACTGTCTTCAATTTTTTGTCTCTGGGTCACATTTTAACTCATTGAAAGTAGACTTCTGTCCTTACTACCACAATGAAACTAGTCTGGTAAAGGTTAAAGTTCTCCTATATGCCATAGTCAATACACTCTCCATCTCACTGACAACTCTGTACAATCAGTACTGCTGGCTCCTGTTTTCCCCTCAAAAATGTCTGATCCTTTCCTTCCAGGATACCACTCTCTTAGTTTTACCATCTCTGATTATTTGTTCTGTTTCCTCTTGTTGGCTTCATTCTCTTCCCTCTGCTTCAAGTACAGGTGCTTCCTAGAGTTCTGTTTACCTCCTGCTATCTTCCTTCTCTGCTTCCTCTCCTTCAGAGATTTCATCTACTGCCTCAGCTGTAATTATCATGAATAAACTGAAAAGCCCATCTCTCTCTCTCTTGAGCTACAGACCCACAAGAGTTATTAACAGCTTTCTGAATAGCTTCAGTGGGACACCCAAGGGGGCAGCTTCAATGCCACGTAATCCAAACTGATCTCACAGTCACCACCATTTGTCAACATTTCCTAGATTCCAGGGACAAGGCAGATCATGAATAAATAATGGCACCTGTGGCAAATTATAAGCATTTAAATTTATATAAAAAAATAATTAAAAACCTACATCAGCTGAACACGATATCCACAGTCATGATACACAATGATATTTTGGTTTTTAGTCTCTGCCATATAATCTCGTTTATGAGTGCAGTCATTCAATGAGGTAACCTGCTAATTCAACCTAAACTTATCACCTCTAGGCTAGGTTACTAAACCCTTTTCATTCTACTTCTGAAATAACTTTGAAATCCATCCGCTCCCTCCTCTCCTTCAGTGCTGCTTCCCTTGATTTAGACACCCACCATCTTCTGCTGAACTACAAGTCTCTGAAGCATTTTAAAAGTACAGGCTGCAAGTCTTTAGTTGGTAAAAACAATTTAATGTGTTAAAACCAGCATTTTGAAACAGAAAACTTCAGAATACATTCTACACAATACAGGTAAATACTGTTGCATGACTCTCATTTCTTTACGTGTACATCCACATCTTTGTATTCTTCTCCATGTGGTCAAAACATTTGAAAGGAACCAAGCAAACCGATTTCTTTGCCTATCATCTGATCACCTCCAATCCATCTACTTAACTGCTTTCAGTTACACAGCCATGCCAGTCCTCCACTTCAGGGTTTTAGTGTCTCTCCATTATTCTGGGGCCTTCCCTGGTGGCTCAGACGGTAAAGAATCTGCCCGCAATGCGGGACACCCAGGTTCAATCCCTGGGTTGGGAAGATCCCCTGGAGAAGGGAACAGCAACCCACTCCAGTATTCTTGCCTGGAGAATCCCACGGACAGAGGAGCCTGGCGGGTGACCATCCACGGGGTCGAAGAGAGTCGGACATGACTGAGTGACTAACACAGTAACAACGACATTATTCTGGAATACTGTCTACAGACTCTTCAGAGGGAAAGCAAAGTCCTTTGTGATCTCACCTTTATGTGTATCAGATTCTGCCGACCCCCCTCAGGACAGCAGCCTGTGTTAGGGCAGTCCAGTTTACGGGTCATTTCTCAACGGTGCCCATTTCACTCTGGCTTTGGGCAGAACAAGAGAGTCCCTCTACCTAGAATGCAATCTCTCCACTTAACTGCATAAGTAATGCTATTCACTGATCAACACCCACCCAACCTTACCGCATTTTTCTAAGATGTTTTCCTTGATGAATCCCATCTTAATTTCTAAAGATCTGACCATTCTCTTCTTTGTGCTACTCTTTGAACAGATCTCTATTGTAGCACATTTATCATTACTCATCACACTCCTTTATTATAACACCTGCTCTGATTTAAGCTGTATCATATACATTAAATCATTTAATCCTCTCACAATCACCATACTAAATATTATCTTCATTTTAAAGATGGAGAACTTGAGGTCTAACAAGAGCAAATAATTAACTGGTGGAGTTAAAATTCAAATCTACCTCTGCCTGGCCTGAAAATCCCCCTTCCTGCCCTCCTCTGATCAGAGGACTCTTGAGAAACCTGGCACAAGAGCGAGGTACCCTCAGCACATAGCGAGTGTTCAGCACAGGTTTGCTGAATAAATGGAAACAGATCCCAATAGTCTCAGTGAGGATCCCATTTGAATTTTGTAAAAACATCAGCTTGAAGTCTTTGTTACGATTAAAAGAGTTTTAAAATGAGCTCTGTCTAAATTCCACAAAATCAGTTTCTACAGGGGAGACCTGGCTTGTGCTGAATGCCATTTGTCAATATTTGACAAATGGAATATTTGTCAACTGGGGATACATTTCATCTTAGAACATTAGTCAGTAGTTGTGTACCTTGAAGAAACAACAGGCTATTTAGCCTAAGGTCTCTAGGCTCAGGAATATATATGTGGTGGCTCAAGTATTCTCAGGCTGTGTTTTAAGAAGCTCTTAAAGTCACTGAGAGACTGGCAGAAAATTATGCAGGAAAAAAAAAAAGGGAAATTTTATACATGTGTTAACGTGCAGAAGGGGCTTCCCAGGTAGCTCAGTGGTAAAGAACCCACCTGCCAATGCAGGAGACGCAGGTTCAGTTCTTGGGTTGAGAAGATCAACCCAAGAGAAGGAAATGGCAACCCACTCTAGTATTCCTGCCTGGGAAATCTCATGGAAAGAGGAGTCTGGTGGGCTACAGTCCATGGGGTTGCAAAAAAGTCAGATACGACTTAAGTGACTAAACAACAAATGTTCAGAAACTCTTAAGTTTAGACCACTAATTTCCACATATCGAAACTGAGAATTTCCTAACCTTAGCTTTCTCAAAATAATATTCTTCTGATGCTTTGCTAAATGTTTCTGTGAAGATTTCTGAACATAAGAAAACTATCTTTAAGAAATTATTAAATGTAAAATGTAAGAAATCTCAGGTACAAATAACTAACTTAATATCAATAACTTGCTTCTTTATAAGAAAGCACTGGTCATAAGTGAACCTCACACAGAAAGAAAAGGAAAAGAACATTAAAAATTCTCCCTCATCCGCCTGCAATGTGGGAGACCTGGGTTCAATCCCTGGGTTGCAAAATCCCCTGGAGAAGGGAAAGGCTACCCACTCCAGTATTCTGGCCTGGAGAATTCCATGGACTGTATAGTACATGAGGTCACCAAGAGTCGGGCATGACTGAGCAAGCTTCACTTTCACACTTTCAAGACTAATAAAGTTATTTTTAAAAAGAAAATTCTCCCTTAAGAGTAATACAAGGTTTTCATCATACTTACAACAATCCAGTTCATCTGATTTGTCACTGCAATCCAAATTATGATCACATTTCTTGTGTTTTCCAATGCACTGACCATTGGCACAGCGGAATTGATCAATTAAACAGAGTACTGTGGGGGAAAAAAAATGTAAATAGTTTTCTTAGTTTCGCTATCGTGTAAAGTCTGGCAGAAGTCAAAGAGAGCTTTCCAGGCACACGTGAAAAACAAATCAGACTTTTAGAGAAAACTTACAAATAATTCTCTGGGGATTTCAACTGAGAGATAGAAAAGAGAAGAAAAAGCAATCTAGCAGGAAACTTCCTATTTTGTCCTTTATATTAAATTCCATCTTTCACTAACAATTCTGTTAAGAATTAAAGAATTCTACATGCATTTCTAGATACTAAAAATTTCCAGAGAATATTTTTGTTGTGGTTGTTTTACATTCTGTTAAAAGTTAGTGGATGAGAAGAAAACATGAAATTACTTTATGTTGTTAATAAGTGTCACGTGTGTTTGCTTAGTCATTCAGTCATGTCCAGCTTTTTGCGACCCCATGGACTGTACCCCACCATACTCCACTGTCCATGGAATTCCCCAGGCAAGAATACTGGATTGGGTAGCTATTCCCTTCTCCAGGGGATCTTCCCGACCCGGGGATCAAACCCAAGTCTCTTTCATTGGCGGGTTCTTTACCCGCTGAGCTACCAGAGAAGCCCCATTCAGAGCTCACTGCAAACAAGGACCATTTTTACATACTGAAGGGCTAATCTTTTGGTGTCATTTCTCAACTGCAAAGCTTATTAATGTGTATAAATCTTATACACATTAAGTGAATTAAGACAATTTAGAACATGCTACTGTGTTTAGAAATAATAAAGTCAAACACACTTGAAAAACCCCAAATCTACCACTAAATGAGCCAAAGCAAAACTGGGAATTTCAAACAACTTAATTGAAAAAGGAAATCTGTAACCAGGCCTAGGAATTGCAGATACCTTCACAGTTCTTCTCATCTGACTTATCCTGGCAGTTCGCATCTCCGTTGCACCGCAGGGCACCATCGATACACTGTCCACTGGCGCACTGGAACTGGGACTCTGAGCACACAGGACAATTGAGTTCATCACTGTGGTCTTCACATTCAGTAAACCCATCACACCGCCAAGCCACAGGGATACAGTCAATTTCTCCCGTGAAACAAGTAAACTGCTGAGGAGAACATGTTGGGGGTTCTTCAAATGAATAGGGGGAGGGGAATGAAAAACACAGTCATAGTCACACAGAGGTACTGACATTTACACCTGAGTGAAGCCCATTTAATGATTAACATACAAAACACTTTATAACAGATAAAATCTATAAATTATTTTACTGAATCAGAAAAGAGATATAATTTTTATACTACTTCACTGAGATTCACTAACTTATAAAACTATAAGGCAGAAAGAAGTTTTCTTATATATTACAATTTAAGTAGGAGTACTGAATTTGCAATCTGTTACAATCTCACACATAACCCAGGAATTAGCATTATAATCATCCACCTTCAAATATTTTAAAGTAATCTTAGAATTCGTAACCTTTCCAGCCCTGAGGTTCTCAAAGAATGATCTACGAACCCCTGGGGGTTCCTGACCTGCGACCTCTTTCCAGGGAACTGACAGACACTATTTTACAATACTAACATATCACTTGCCTTTCTCACTACACTTGCACTGATGCCATGGAAGGTAAAATGCTTGGCACCTTAGCAGACTCGGGGCAAGGGCCCCAAACTGTACCAGCAGTCACCGCATTCTACATAGTCATATACCATACGTACACATGGCAGTGGGGGTGGGGCAGTTTCATTCAAGAATGTTCTTGATGAATCAGTAAAAAATACTAATTACATTAAAATCAATTCTCTGAGTACACATCTCCTCAATACTGTTTGACAAAATGGAAAACATGCACAAAGCTCAGGCTGCAAACCTCAGCATGAAGGTTCCCAAAGGGAAAAACATTCTGAGCTGTAAACACAACCCAAAATGTGACACCCTTTTAATGTGAAAGAATGAGTGGCATATAAACTATTGATATTTGCACTTGGGCGTTTTGTGGGGAGTTTTTAAATGAACCAGTGAATTCAAACAACAGCAAACCATAACATACTTTTGTGGCAAATTATACAACACTGGAACTTTCTATCAGAAATTGTAATTTTGGAAGACCTGTATCCAACACTGTTAGCTTGACGGATTCCTAGTATTTAAATATTCTTATGATGAGATTGGTGGTAATATTAATGTGATTGTTTTGATACTGTATAATGAAATGCATCAAAACCTGATGATCTGGGAATTTCTGAATGGAATTCTAGTATTCCCAAATGACCAAGATGCATAAGGTTACAAAATAATGCATGGATAAAATACCCATTCCTGGTACAAATTAATTAATGGATTTCAAAATAACAGACTATGAAAAAAGTGAACTGATATGTTTTCAAGTTCCACAATGCAACTAACCCTATAGAAAACTATCATATGTCAAGATTTGGTGTAGAATTCAATATGCATATACATAACTATTTGAAAAGGATATTTAATTATAGCCCTCCATTTTCCAACTACATATCTTTGAGGCCAAAATTCTTCATACAGTTCAATGAAGCTACATACTACATACAAGAGACTGAATGCAGAAGTAGACAAGAGAATCCAGCTCAACACTAAAAAGATTTTTAAAAATGTAAAAACAACGCCATATTTCTCACTAAAATTATTTTGCTTTAGAAAATACCATCAATTTTCTTAACAGTTTTAACTTGAGAACATGTAATGCTTTATTATTATTATTTTTAACAAATATTTTTAAAAGTTCTTGGTTTCAAATCCTACCACATAGATTATATCTACACAAACAAAAGCTCTCCTCAAAAATTTTTTAAAATGTAAAAATATGGTGAGACCAGTTTGAAAACACATTCAGACTGGCAGAAGTACAAAATGAGATGATGGGGAGGTAACACAGGCTCAAACGAAAACACATCTTGAGAAGGTCAAGCAGAGAAATTCAGATTGTGTATTTCATTTGCCTTCACTGTAAAATCTGAGCTTCCCAGGTGGCATTAGTGGTTAAGTACCTGTCTGCCAATGCAGGAGGCATAAGAGATGTAGTTCTGATCCCTGGGTCAGTAAGTTTCCCTGGAGGAGGGCATGGCAACTCACTCCAGTATTCTTGCCTGGAGAATCCCAGACAGAGGAACCTAGCAGGCTACACAGTTCATGGGGTCGCAAAAAGTCAGACATGACTGAGGCGACTGGCATGCATGCATGCATGTAAAATCAACATTAAATCACAAGAAAAATCTTGTATATAAATTCACAATTCACTGCAGTTTCACTCTTAATAACAAAAACTGAAAACATTTAAAATGTCCCTGAACACAAGAAAAATAAACCTGTGGCTTATTTGTATTGATAAAATGAAACACACCACACAGCAATAAAAAGAAAACCAAAGACTGTGGCACTCCACTCACTGTAAGGATGAATCTCAAAATATTACAATAAGCAAGAGAATCCAGACATAGAGTACATACATCATGATTCCTTATGTAAAGTTCAAAAACAAGTAAAACTAAACCATGGAGATGAAAATTACTCCAGGAAGAGCACTGGCTGCCAAGACACAGGGAACTATTCTTAAAGACAATACTATACATCTTGATCTGGGTGGGCTTCCCTGAGAGCTCAGCTGATAGAAAATCCACCTGCAATGCAGGAGACCTTAGTTTGATTTCTGGTTCGGGAAGATCCACTGGAGAAGGGACAGGCCACCCACCCCAGTATTCTGGCCTGGAGAATTCAATGGACTGTATAGTCCATGGAGTTGCAAAGAGTCAGACACAACTGAGCGACTTTCACTTTCTTTCACTTTCACTTGAAATGGGTGCTGGTAACACCACTGTACACATCTGTTAAAGCAGACTGACTATTCGGTTAAAACATACATTAAAAAAAAAAAAACATACATTAAAAACAATCACTAAATATGAAAAAAAAATACTGGTCTTTTAAAAGACACTTTCTAAATGAAAGGTGATATCACTGAGTTTTATCTGTGTCTACATAAAGGCATATTTTTCTAAGATCTGCCTTATTGGAGCAATAATCTAGCATTCTGACATGGAAACACTTGCTTTTTTTTTTAAATTATGGCCCTGGTGGCTCCGATGGTAAAGAATCTGCCGGCAATGAGGGAGACCCAGGTTCAATCCCTGGGTCAGGAAGAGCCCCTGGAGAAGGGAATGGCTACCCACTCCAGTATTCTTGCCTGGGCAATCCCATGGACAGAGGAGCCTGGTGGGCTACGGTCCTTGTGGTCAGAAAGAGTGGGACACAACTCAGCAACTAACACACACTTTAAGCAACTAGATTCTGTTTTGGGGGCTTCCCTTATGGTTCAGCGGGTAAAGAATCTGCCTGCAATGCAGGAGGCCAGGGTTTGATCCCTGAATCAGGAATATCTTCTGGAGGAGGAAATGGCTACCCATCCCAGTATTCTTGCTTGAAAAAAATCTCATGGACAAGAGAGCTTGGAAGGCTACAATCCAAAGGGTCATAAAGAGTTGAACACAACTGAGCAATTAAGCACACACAAAATACATGTAACAAGTTTACCACTTTAACCATTTTTAAATGTACAGATCAGTGCATTAAATATATTTACATCATTGTGTAATGCCTGCTATTGGGACAGATACTTTAAGAACCAGAGCTTAACTTTCCCTGTGCACAAAGCTGATCTCCCCAACTAAACTGCATTCTCTGTGTCAAAGATCTTTACATCTCCTGTGGTCCAGAGATCCTCATAGCCACTACTCAATACATGTTATTTTTTTTTTTAAACTTGAAAGTTAGAAGAATAAAGTATTCTTATAATAACACCTTATCAATAATTTTTACATTTTGAGTGTAAACCCTCTCGATCTTTTTTCACAGAGATTTATTTTTTATGTAGTTCTCATCACATAATAAAACACCATTTTAATATTCTTTTCCCACTTGAGCCAACTTTGGGCTACATTTTTACATCAGTTTATGATCATAATTTTTAACAGCTACATAAGCTCAGTTATTTTATTAAATCATTCTCCTATCATTAGAAATTGTTTTTAAATTCCCACCACTGTAGAAAAATCTTTTTCCTTCGGTTGAATTCACACAGAACTATCCCCAGCAGGAGAATTTCCGAATTAAGAGAATAAATATTACAATGCATTTGATGCTACCATACTATGCTTTAACAAAGGGATACACCTTTGGTGTGGTCCCATGAGTAACTGAGCCAATTTCACTACAACATTACTACTACTCAGTAATATCTTAAAAAAAATTTTTTTTTCCTTTTTTATTGGCTAGAAAAGTAAGAGAAACAACAGGCAACGGCGGATAGATCTGAACAGAAGACTATTCTTTCCACTGAATATATTTGCAACAATGACACATAAACTGACAGAATTCAGTGGATAAAGATTACAGGAGGTGGAATTAATTCTTGCTACCCTTTGAGGGTGGAAAAACTACTTTATTATTAAGAAATACACTCATTTATAGTTACAAGTTTCCCCCCAAAAGGGCTCTTCTGCCTTAGGACCAGGGTCAGGTTACACCTATCTCTTGTCATGGTGAATTCAATCTTAGAGTACCCCAAAGCCTAGGACAGTGCAGATGTATGAAATACAAGGGACCAATCAAGTTAGGAGAAAGCAATTTCACTGTCCAAGAATGCTAGACTAAGTTCTGCAACATGTGATTGGCATTACACTTTTAGAAGAAAATAACAACATATTTACCTCCACATAATAGCTCATCTTGAAGAAGAACCAAGTGCATGGGGCAAGAACACCTTGTGGTACCATCTCCCTTTACAAGACAGATATGTGAACAGCCACCATTATCCTGAGCACAAGGGTGCTGTCCTGCAAGAAAAGAGGAAAGAGAAGAGAATGAGAGAGAGAAAAAAGAAAGGGAAAAGAATAGCAAGGGAGGGAGGGAGGAAGAAAAGCCTAGCCAAAATCAATTATGTATGAGTTACCAAGAAAATCAAATGCAAAATTCCTGTGGACTTTATTTCCACTGAATATAATTACTCACGCCATCTCTACACAATCTACAAGTAAACAAGCACAATTTAAGACACAAAATATTTATATGTAGCCACTGTCTTTACATATTTATATATAAAATATTTTAAAGTAAAGTAATGGTATAGCTCATGTTAATTTTTGTGAATAAGAAAAGCTGATTACTCAAACTAAAAAAATTGCTGGGGAGAATGCTGAAACCTGGATCTTATTCTCTTTAAAATATAAAAATTCTTCTAGAGATTTTTAACTCAGAAATTCTACCTTTTTGAGAGACATGATGATTTTGCTCAAAAAGTGTATTCTAAGGAGGAATCTGCTAAAAATTAAGAGCTGTTAGAAGAAAAAACAAGTCCACATGAATTCAACCACTCAGAAACCATCAAAATTATTTGCCTGGTCAACCGCAAAAGACTTGCAATGTTACAAATGCTTGATTTCTTCCTATTTGGGTTAAATTAAATAAATACACTGTCAGGCACATTTCAAAGTCCGTCTCATAAGTTATATTTAATGAAATCATTGCTTTGACTTTTCTACTTAGCTCACGTCAAAAGCAACTTGACAGCTATCATCCCAGAATACCAACATCAAATGTGGCCACCCATTTATTATCTGACTCTTGTCAGTAACACATCAGTCCTGCTTCAGCGTGTGTTGACGAGATGGAGGGAGTCAGCTATGCACAAACGAGCAGATGTCTAATACTATATAGATGTCCCAAAGCAGACATCAGTCCTTGTATCAGAATGGACAACCTATACAGCAGTGTTTCTCAACCTTGTAATTCCAAGACACTCTTGATAAACAATCTCCTTTTCTTTAATAGTTTTTAGAAATTTTGAAAAATAAAGTTTTTCTAAATACAAACCATATTTAAGTGTTGAACTATAAAAAAAGATACTCCCCCTGAAATTCTGAAAACATCCATAGATTTTTCTGCTGTAAAAAGCTCATGTATCAACTGAATACTCAGCCATTACATCACCTCTACCTTATTTCTATTAAATACTCAGCATGAATTACATGTTATAACATACAATGACAATTCTAACTATTAAATCTCAAATACCTCTAATTAACTTCTAATTTCATGAACAGTGACAATACAAGAGAGACTTGAACAAGTTATGGTGTTCTCATTCCTGTTTCTTTCTTAAATATTCCAATTTGATTTGAAAACATTGTGCTGAGAAGTTCAGGAGTGAATACTTCTCTCATTAGTCCTCCATTTTAACATCTGCATTCCTGATATAATTGTGTAAGATCTACAGTAGTGATGGCTAGGAGGGTACATCTGATGACAGATATAACAGTATTATGTTAACAGAGTTAACAGTATTAATTACTATTAATATTAACTTATTAATAATGTTGATACTAAACACTATAATAAAGATATATAAATAATATGTTTACATGTATATAAATTATAATAATGTTGATATAAAAATATTAATACTAACTCTAATATTAATACTATATTAAGAGTTACTAGTATTATATTAACACATATTAACTAAGCCAAGATGACTAGTCATTTTCAAGTTTTCAATAATTTATGGCCACTTTCCTAAGCTGTGAATTGACAAACTTAACCAAAAGGGGGAAAAAACAAGCACTTTTTAAGCACAGTCTTCTCTAAGTTTATACACTAATTTTTAGTTTGTTTTGTTTTTGCCAAAGAATAGGCTTATTTTTATGATAACTCTATTCATTATTATATAAATGTTAACTTCTGCTTCTGTTGAAACCATGAGGATGTATGTGAAACAAAAGAAATATTAATACAGGCTTTACACCAGTATTCTTAAAATGCTGAAGGAGAGAAAGAGAAAACATGAAGAGCAAGTCCTTGCTGTTCCTGGGTGGGGAGATTTTTGAAAATGAGACACACCATTCCTTTCTCTAATTCTTGTTTTATAGAGAAAACATGTTTAAAATAAAAAAATTTCCAGGTGAATCTAAGGTTTTAAAAACATGGAGACTTTTTAAAAATGGCAAAACTAGAAGTATATGAAAATCTTACAATAGAAGACACACAGCACCTTAATTTTCGTCGCGCCCAATTACAAACATGCATCTTGCGACTAGCAATACACCACCAGCACTTACTATACTCCTGAAGGTTCAGCTCCTTCACTGCGTGAATGTCGCTAAGCTGGGCAATTCGAGCCTGGACTTTGGTTCTACCCTCTCGACCTGTCATGTCAATTTTTTCAATCATTTGCTGCTGCTTATCGATCCAGTACAGCCAGTTTTCAAACACAGTCAGTCCCACAGGCTGTAGAATGTTGGTGTCTTCTAACACTATTCGGTTGGCCCCTTGGAAAGGAGAATGTTCAACAGAAATGATTCATGTGGTCAAGTCAAAAATTCAAGAGCTATTGACTGAAAACCCGTTAGGATTCCAGAAGTACTGAGAAGGAAAATATGATAAGCTCTCTAGCAGAAAACTCAAAAATCTTTCTGAGATTAAAAGATATATACATACCAGATAACAGACTAGACATTTAAGTGCAATCAAGAGCAAATAAGTGTCCAACACACAGTAAATACTGGGTTCATAGAAAAGTAGAAAAGAACTTCAGAGCCATTTTCAAAAATTTTTAAACCAGTCCATTTTTTCCCAATTAAATCTTATGAGGATCTCTAATACATAAAACACACAAAACAGTGCTTCTCTATATGAAGTAGTGGTGGTGGGCAGAGCACTCTGTGTTGTTGGCCACCCACACCTGTTGAGCACACTCAAGGCATCTGTGGAGAACAACAGCCTCACTCACTCAGCCACTCAGAACACTGGAAAAGACTCATACATTACCTGGTTTAAGCTTCGCCTCAAAATAAGTATTTCTAAAATACCCCAGACACAAAAGCCATCCAGCTTCTGGAAAGGCAACCAACTCTGTTACTGAACTATGAGAAAGTTTTTTCACACCATATGCTGAAATCTGTGCCCCACTCCTCACCACCCCAACTGCTTCGCCCTCATTCAAATAGAAAACATATATCCATATGTCTTCTTTGGAGAAATGTCTCTTTAGTTCTTTGGCCCATTTTTTGATTGCGTCATTTATTTTCCTGGAATTGAGCTGCAGGAGCTGCTTGTATATTTTTGAGATTAATCCTTTGTTTGTTGCTTCGTTTGCTATTATTTTCTCCCATTCTGAGGGCTGTCTTTTCACCTTACTTATAGTTTCCTTCGTTGTGCAAAAGCTTTTAAGTTTAATTAGGTCCCATTTGTGTATTTTTGCTTTTATTTCCAATATTCTGGGAGGTGGTTCATAGCTGTGATTTATGTCAGAGAGTGTTTTGCCTATGTTCTCTTAAGACATACAGATGGCTAACAAACACATGAAAAGATGCTCAACATCACTCATTGTCAGAGAAATGCAAATCAAAACCACAACGAGGTACCATTACATGCCAGTCAGAATGGCTGCTATCCAAAAGTCTACAAGCAATAAATGCTGGAGAGGGTGTGGAGAAAAGGGAACCCTCTTACACTGTTGGTGGGAATGCAAATTAGTACAGCCACTATGGAGAAGAGTGTGGAGATTCCTTAAAAAACTGGAAATAGAACTGCCGTATGACCCAGCGATCCCACTCCTGGGCATACACACCGAGGAAACCAGGTCTGAAAGAGACACGTGTACCCCAGTGTTCATTGCAGCACTGTTTATAATAGCCAGGACATGGAAGCAACCTAGATGCCCATCAGCAGACGAATGGATAAGAAAGCTATGGTACATATACACCATGGAATATTACTCAGCCATTAAAAAGAATTCATTTGAATCAGTTCTAATGAGATGGAGAAAACTGGAGCCCATTACACAGAGTGAAGTAAGCCAGAAAGATAAAGACCAATACAGTATACTAATGCATATATATGGAATTTTAAAAGATGGTAAAGATAACCCTATATGCAAAACAGAAAAAGAGACACAGATGTACAGAACAGACTTTTAGACTCTGTGGGAGAAGGCGAGGGTGGGATGTTCTGAGAGAATAGCATTGAAACAAGTATACTATCAAGGGTGAAACAGATCACCAGCCCAGGTTGGATGCATGAGACAAGTGCTCAGGGCTGGTGCACTGGGAAGACCCACAGGGATGCTATTGGGAGGGAGGCGGGAGCGGGGATTGGGATGGGGAACACATGTGAAATCCATGGCTGATTCGTGTCAACGTATGGCAAAAACCACTACAATATTGTAAAGTAATTAGCCTCCAACTAATAAAAATAAATGGAAAAACAAAAAAGAAAACATATATCCAATCGTTCCCTCTTCCTCCTAATCATCCTTCAAATATCTATAGAACTTTTCCCTGGTTCTTAGTTGATGAGTTCAGTCAAAGAAAGATACTAGCTTAATACTTTGTAAACATCAGGGGAAGTTCCAGGAAAGAGCCAAGCATAAAGCTAAGCTTAATAAATGGAGAAAGGTGGGGAGATACATATGAGAAGGCAGTAAGTCAACATTCAGATCCATGGTGAGTTAAACAGAAGTCTACTCACGCTCCCTCCTAAAAATCTACTAAAATGATAGTAAACAATGAAGGCATAAGTAAGCATAAGGAAAAACAGGACATGAGAGTAGAAAAGCAATATAAAATTTACAAGGTGGATAAGAGACAAGCAACAGACCTAGATTAATCTCCTATGAACTTCCTTTCAAGTAGCTAGTAGAGGATGTGATCTCTCAGGAAAAGGAATGAACCAAACAAATAAAGGAGCAAACAGCAGGTTCAGCACCAAGAAGACCAGCAAGTACATGTCCAGGGTAACAGTGCAAGGAGGCTGGCCTAGAGCAAGCCAATCCATACTGACTGAAACAGAATGATAAAGAGGTATGACTCCAATGAAACAGAAAAAAAAAAAAAAGATGGATTGGTTGCTGAATCTGCATATATTGAAACAATATTTAAATTAGACAAGAATAATTTCAGAGAGGAAAAAAACTGCAGAAAGAAATGAAGGTGATGGTTATATTTCCATACCCATAAATAACAAATAATTATGAACTTAAAAATTATGATTTAATTTAAAAAATCATAGTTTTTAAGTTGGATGGGATAATTTTTTTAGCTGGGTGGATGATAGAAAAGTTCATATGGGTATTTTACTGATATATCATTTAAGACAGCAAATCCTCATCTTCCATCAAAAAAAGTCAAATTGTGATGTCTAAAATTTAAACATCAAGAAGCAGCTGTTTTAAATCAGTTATTTTAAAAAGACTCTTGATTAAACCATCATCAGAGATGCCTCTAAGAGTAGGAACTAACAGGTGGAAGGAGCAGAGCAGTAAACTTGGATTTTTTTTACAGGTCAAGTGGAACCACTTGATTTCCACATTTACATGTATTATTTTGATAAAAATTAAAATTAAATTTAAAACAGCAGCAGAAAGAATGATTAAAAAAAAAAAAGATGAGCTGGTGGCAGTGTAAGGATGGCCTCAACTGAACAACTGGAGAAAATGAGGAGAGGTCAACAGTGCTGCTAGAGGACCGAAGACCTACTCTGGGAGCAGTTAAACAACACCAGAACCAGCAATGAAAAGGCATACTCATTCAGCAAACTAAAGCATACACTAAATCTACTCTAGTATAAAAGACTCTAAGCAGAAAGACAACCCATGACAAAAGTATAGGCTTATCTGTGAATATATAAAAGGAAGGGGGGAAAAAAAGAAGAAAACCCTACCAACATTAAATCAACCTTTTTCAGAAAACAGGAAAAAAGGAAATGTTTCTTATTATTAGGCCAATGTATCTTTGATGGCAAAACTCCAACAAGTGCGTTATATCAGTAAGAAAGGAAAACCATGGGGTAATCTTTCTCATGAACACAGATATAAACATCTTAAATAAAACATTACCAAATCAAATTCAGCAATATAAAAAAAGGATAATGTATCATGCCAAGTTTAATTTATTCCACCAAACTAACAAGAGTTCAGTTCAGTCGCTCAGTCATGTCCAACTCTTTGTGACCCCGTGGACTGCAGCATGCCAGGCTTCCCCCTCCATCACCAATTCCCGTAGCTCGCTCAAACTCATGTCCATAGAGTCAGGGATGCTATCCAACCACCTCGTCTTCTGTCATCCCCTTCTCCTCCTGCCCTCAACCTTTCCCAGCATCAGGGTCTTTTCCAAAGAGTCAGCTCTTCGCATCATGTGGCCAAAGTACCGGAGTTTCAGCTTCAGTCCTTCCAATGAACATTTAGGACTGATTTTCTTTTAGGACGGACTGGGTGGATCTCCTTGCAGTCCAAGGGACTCTCTAGAGTCTTCTCCAATACCACAGTTCAAAAGCATCAATTCTTCGGCACTCAGCTTTCTTTAGAGGCCAACTCTCACATCTATACATGACTACTGGAAAAACCATAGCTTTGACCAGACGGACCTTTGTTGGCAAAGTAATGTCTCCGCTTTTTAGTAAGTTGTCTAGGCTGGTCATAACTTTTCTTCCAAGAAGGAAGCATGTTTCATGGCTGCAGTCACTATCTGCAGTGATTTTGGAGCCCAGAAAAATAAAGTCTGTCACTGTTTCCGTTGTTTCCCCATCTATTGGCCATGAAGTGACGGGACCAGATGCCATGATCTTAGTTTTCTGAATGTTGTGCTTTAAGCCAACTTTTTCACTCTCCTCTTTCACTTTCATCAAGAGGCTCTTCAGTTTCTCTTCACTTTCTGGCATAAGGGGTGTCATCTCCATCTCTGAGGCTATTGATATTCCTCCTGGCAATCTTGATTCCAGCTTGTGCTTCATCCAGCCCATCATTTCACATGATGTACTCTGCATATAAATTAAATAAACAGGGTCACAATATACAGTCTTGACATACTCCTTTCCCAATTTGGAACCAGTCTGTTGTTCCATGTCCAGTTCTAACTGTTGCCTCTTGACCTGCATACAGATTTCTCAAGTGGCAGGTAAGGTGGTCTGGTATTCCCATCTCTTGAAGAATTTTCCAGTTTGTTGTGATTCACAGTTACAGGCTTTGGTGTAGTCAATAAAGCAGATGTTTTTCTGGAACTCTCTTGTTTTTTCTATGATCCAACAGATGTTGGCAATTTGATCCCTGGTTCCTCTGCCAAGAACAGAACTTCCTTAATCTGATTTTTAAAAGTTACCTACAGAAAAACCTTAGCAAAAACCTAATAATGAAGTATTGGATGCTTTATCCTCAAATCATGGAAAGCAAATACAAAATTAAACAAAAATACCTAGGGACTCTTATTATTTTGTTCAATATTGTACTGGGGCGGGGGGGCAGGGAGTGGTCCCCAGTCAATGTAGTGAGGCAACAAGGAAAAAAGGACTGAAAAAGAAAAAAAACAACTTTCCTCGTTTGTAGACAAATGATTCCATAACACAGAAAATTCTATTAATAATTTAGCAAGGTGGTTGGGAACAAACTCAATGTACTAGTGTAGGAGAGGAAAAGAAAAACTATATTTCTGTATTCCAGCCACAGTCAAAAAATGAAATATTAAATATTTAGAATACTCTTTATCACTAGCATTCAAAAGCATTAAATACCAAAGAATAACTCCAATGAAAGAACGGCAACCTCGACAGAGAAAATTACAAAACACTAAGGGAAATTAAAGTTTTAAATACATGGAGGGATATACCATGTTCATGGTTTAGAAGACTAATATTATAAAGATAACAATTTTTCTTAAATTGCTATTAAAGCAAGGCCACTCAGAATTATACTAGGTTTTTTGTTTTTGGTGGAAACTCAAGAGGCTGATTCTAAAATGTATATGGAAATGCAAAGTGTCAACAACTGCCAAGATAATCTTTGGTAAGAAATATTAAGGTAATACTAATCAAGGTAAGAAATACTAAGGACATACACTGCTAGACAAATCTGCTATAAATTAAGACAATACAAAGACAAGGTGACCAAGGGAACATCAGGGTCCAGAAATAAACTCACACAAATATAATCACTTTATTTACAACAAAAGTAACAGGAAAGAAGAGTAGGGGAAGAATGGTCTTCTCAAAAGAGATGGTACTGAATCAGGCACATAGAAAACAAAATTAAACCCCTGTCTCACATGGTACACAAGAATAAATTCCAAATGGATTAGAGATCTAAAATAAGACAAGTTAAACAAAAAAAAATGTTAGGAAAAAACAAAAGAAAATATCTTTGTAACTAAGCAGTAGGCAAAGATTTCTTAAACATAACATAAAAGGCACAAATCATACAAGGAAAAATTAGTAAGCTGTGCAACACTAAAAATATAGCTTATTTTCATCTAAAGACACCACTGGGAGAGTGAAAAGGTAAATCACAAGCAAAGATTTATATAAAACATATCTTTCTCTATAGAGGCAAGTATAAATATGTACCAAAAATCACTACAGATGACTTTTAAATGGAAAGATACACCACAGTCATAAATGAAAAGACTGAATTCTTTAACCATAACAATTCTCCCTGAATATGTATGTAATTTAATAATGCATTGATACACTGAATAAAGAATTTCTAGAAATCAGTAATAGAAAAATTAGCAAAAACTAAGAACTGCAATTCACAGAAGAAACATAAGTAGCCAATAAATTAATTTCAATATCAAACAGAAAAATTTGCATTTTATTAATAATCAGATATACCTTTAAAACTATTGGACTGGTAAAAATTCAGAAGTCTAACAGTACCAAGTAGTAAAGAAGAAACTCATGTACTTCTAGAGGGGATTTTAAACCGATACAATCACTTTGGAGAGCAGTGTGAACAGACATATTCAAGTTGAATATATACATACCACATTACATGGCAATCCCACTACTAGGTTTAGACTACTGCTTTTAATGGCAAAAAATTGGAAACAGCAGTTTAGATAGCAGAATAGAAATAGAGAAACTGCAGAACGATCAAAAAACGAAACCACTATTTAGCAAAATAACTAACATAGATTTGTGGATCAATAGGGATCATCTCAAAACTGATATATCTGAAAAAGGCAAGTGACAAAAGAATACATGAGACTATATTAAGCTTAAAAAGTAAAAAAGCTTAAATTTGTATCAGTATACACAGTAAAAAATACAGACACACAGAACAAACCATGCACGGCAAAAAAAACACATCAAAAGTTGCCTCTTAAGAAAAAGGAAGGAAAACAGAATTGGGGAAGGAGACACAAGAGCTTCAAATTCTCCCTAATGTCTTTTTTCAAGAGAGGAGGAAAGGAGGTTCAAAAGCAAATATGGTCAAACACTAAGATTTGACTAAGTTGGATGGCAGGAATTCTGTACTTTCTGTGTGTTAGAACCATGTCATAATTAAGAGTGGAGAAATGAACAAAAAAAAAAAAAATAGAAAAAAAGAAAGCTAATTCATTAAAGTATCAGTACTGATAGTGTTTTGGATTTTCTTTTTTTATTTTCTAAACTGTCTAAAGAACATGCATCACCTCTATTAAAAAATAATAATAATCCTAAATGAAGAAAAAAGAGAAAAGGAAAAGTAGGGGAAAAAAATCCACTGACATATTAGTAAGGGCTGAAACATGGATATAACTAACTATTAAACAAATGAGATGGGATATAAGAGATACAGGTGACCAGTTAAAGGAAAGAATATACTATGCAAGGTGTGTGCATGACAGTTTGGAATCAAAGAAGACATAATGGAAGGGAGTCTTTTGAACCTGAAGAGAGAACTTGTTTAGTTTTTGAAAAATTACAAATACATTGAAATATATAAAACTTTAAATGATACAGAAATACTCTTAACACATTAGCATGCTAAACTTTTAAACCTTTCTCAAGATATATTTGCTTGCATATTTTTCAAGGAATACACAAACATATATGTTTACAATAGTATATACATATACTATATGTGTAATGTGTGTATGTATACACATGTCTCTGTATAGGATATATTTCATTTTTGGAGGCAATCTGCCAGTGTATATAGTGTGTGTGCGTGTGCGTGTGTGTGTAATATAGTTTTAAATTTTATTTATTTTTTTTCCATTTATTTTTATTAGTTGGATGCTAATTACTTTACAATATTGTAGTGGGTTTTGCCATACATTGACATGAATCAGCCATGGATTTACATGTGTTTCCCATCCCAATCCCCCATCCCGCCTCCCTCCCAATAGCATCCCTGTGGGTCTTCCCAGTGCACCAGCCCTGAGCACTTGTCTCATGCATCCAACCTGGGCTGGTGATCTGTTTCACCCTTGATAGTACACTTGTTTCAATGCTGTTCTCTCAGAACATCCCACCTTCCCCTTCTCCCACAGAGTCTAAAAGTCTGTTCTGTACATCTGTGTCTCTTTTTCTGTTTTGCATTTAGGGCTATCGTTACCATCTTTTTAAATTCCATATATATGCATTAGTATACTGTATTGGTCTTTATCTTTCTGGCTTACTTCACTCTGTGTAATGGGCTCCAGTTTCATCCATCTCATTAGACCTGATTCAAATGAATTCTTTTTAATGGCTGAGTAATATTCCATTGTGTATATGTACCACAGCTTCCTTATCCATTTGTCTGCTGATGGGCATCTAGGTTGCTTCCATGTCCTGGCTATTATAAATAGTGCTGCGATCAACATTGGGGTGCATGTGCCTGTTTCAGATCTGGTTTCCTCGGTGTGTACGCCCAGGAGTGGGATCGCTGGGTCATACGGCAGTTCTATTTCCAGTTTTTTAAGGAATCTCCACACTCTTCTCCATAGTGGCTGTACTAGTTTGCATTCCCACCAACAGTGTAAGAGGATTCCCTTTTCTCCACACCCTCTCCAGCATTTATTGCTTATAGACTTTTGGATAGCAGCCATTCTGACTGGCATGTAATGGTACCTCGTTGTGGTTTTGATTTGCATTTCTCTGATAATGAGTGATGTTGAGCATCTTTTCATGTGTTTGTTAGCCATCTGTACGTCTTCTTTGGAGAAATGTCTGTTTAGATCTTTGGCCCATATTTTGATTGGGTCATTTATTTTTCTGGAATTGAGCTGCAGGAGTTGCTTGTATATTTTTGAGATTAATCCTTCGTCTGTTTCTTCATTTGCTATTATCTTCTCCCATTCTGCAGGCTGTCTTTTCACCTTGCTTATAGTTTCCTTTGTTGTGCAAAACCTTTTAAGTTTCATTAGGTCCCATTTGTGTGTTTTTGCTTTTATTTCCAATATTCTGGGAGGTGGGTCATAGAGGATCTTGCTGTGATTTATGTCAGAGTATTTTGCCTATGTTTAATAAAACTGTGTTTAAATAAAACTAAATCTTAGTAACATTACACAACTTAATTTTAAGAAATCATCCTCCTATGTCACTACACACCTCATCTATTGAATATTTCACACACTTAATACACTCAGATGTATTTTTTTGTACATATTACAAAGAATGCTCAGCAAATACATCAGTTGTCTGTAAGACAGCTCTCTGAAACGGAAATTCACCAGCACATTTACCTCTGAAAAGGTTCTACCAACTTCACTTCACAAAAGTATATGAGAGCATGCCACTTGTTACCTTTCTGGCCAATGCTAGGAATAATCAACTTTATATTTTATGGCTCTCATACAGTGTATTATTTTAATTTCATTTCCTCGATCACCATTAAGTCCACACAGAGTATCTGGACTTCAGAAACTGGGGCTGTGGGAACAACTGTGATTGTAAACCGAGGGTCACAGAGAGATGAAAAGTACATTTGAAGATCAACGAATTTAATGAAATTATTTAATTTCATTAAAACACACAGGAATGTTAAGATCATTTGCATTTATGATGAGTCTGTGAAAGACAAATACAAACTTAAGCATTCAACCAGACTTTTTTCTTTGGGTTATGAGACTACCCTGGAGGGTTTTTCAGTATGGCAGTGACATGATTAGAAACCATGCTTTGGAAAATTAATTTAGGAACAGTGTGTAAACTTTCAGGGAGGAAAAATCAACAGGGAGGAGACTAATCATAGGCTAGAATTCAGGCCAGAGATGATGAGAAGTAAAGTAGAGTGGAAGAATTAGAAAAAGAGGAGAGATGCATTAGAAACATACTATTTACAGAGCCCAAATCAAGAAAATTGGCAAGTTTTTAGATAACAGATGGAGTAATCATGTTGATGGTTAAAGAAAAAGTGCTTCCCAACCTACTTGCTGCTGACTATTCTTAGTGAATAAAACTGTAAAGAAATATGTATAATACAACAGAAGGAAAATACAAATGCTATCAGTGAATCATATCAATTATTGAAACAAAAATAATATTTCTTGGGTACCTGAGAGATCACTGCTTTCAATTCGCCGGAGATCTGAATCAGCCCAGAAGAGTTTGCCTAATTTGCTATCAAGAGCTAAAGCAATTGGTTTACTTAAACCACTGAAAAAGAGGACTTCCCGTTCTGTTCCATCTAAAGCAGCTCGTTCAATTTTGGGAGACCTTTCCTGAAGATTGGTAAAATACATATACCTGAAAAGAAAGGAGGAAACTCTAAGTTTACTAAAGTAAGAAACCACACAAAATGAGAATATTTCTGTTAAGACAAAAGGAAGTAGAATAGTACTAAGTGTAATTTTTTAAGGTTTTAGAGTATATTTTAAAGATCATGGAATACATTTCTTAATTTCAAAAACAGAAACAAAGGTTGCACATAAGTTCTTAGGGAATTAACTTCCAGGAATTAATAAAACAAAATGTTAGACACAGGCACACTTATGCTTTTGGAATAATATAATAAATAAAAGATAATAGCAGTAATCAGATTTGGACACAAACTTTTAAGTTTCTGTTCCATTTCATAACTGAAAATAAGGTCATATGTGAATTATTTCTTATATTTAACTTCTTCAGTTCATCTCTTTCCTGTAGCTCTTCTGAAGTAAGCTACTTTCCTTGCTGAATTCCTTATCATTCATTCATGTTAAATTAAGTACTATTATTGAATGCAAAGCTCTGTATTAAAGACATACTAGTTCTTAACATAAAGGAACCTAAAGCCGAGAAAATATAAGCCTGAAAATAATCAAGTATAAGGTAAACTGGAAAGGACCAAAGAGGCACAGATATAGACTAGTGGGCATTTAAGAGAGGAGGATGTCACATTTGGCGGGGGTGGCACAGGGGAGGTCAAGGGGAAATTAGTGGAGGAGGACATAGTTCCAGTGGTTCTGGAGGTGTGGGTGGAAATGACAGATACAGCAGCAGTGACTAAGGACGGACATTCTAGGCAGAGAAACAGAGAAAGCAAGAATATAAGTGGGATAAACAGGAAAGCTGATGAGGGTTTCAGACTCCCTGCTGGCAACATACCCTTTTTCTGGGTTTACCACAATGGCTCGAGGTCTGTCTTGCTCGCCCTTTAACACCACTCCAATTGATCTCCCATCTAACCTCGTTACATTAATGACATTGGTGGCCTCACAAGTCCAATAGATGTAGCGGCTATAAATATCAATGCTGAGGTCATAGGGCTGGATTTCTAGGTTCTGATTCGGAACTGAGCTCACAACCACAGTAAAGCCCTAAGGAGAGAAAAAGAAACACACACAGAACATGAGACTCCAAGCCAGACAGCCCTGGGATTACTCACAATACTTGCACGTATGTGGTCACACACCTGAGTGGAACACTCAAGTCTCAAGGGACATTTCTTAGTGAACATTTCCAATGTTCCCTTGGTTATTATGACATAAAGCAGAAGAGAGACAGAGGCTGTTTCAGTTGCTCTAAGAACATGAGAGTGCATTGATCAGAGATGGGAGTGAGAAGGTGGCAGCTGCTTCCTATAAACTAGAGACAGCTGTGGCTAGAAGAACACTCTAGAAATAGCTCTAAAGCAGTGGTGCTCAACCAGGAGCAATTCTGCATTTCAAGTGCCTCTGGAGAAGGAAATGGCAACCCACTCCAGTATTCCTGTCTGGAGAATCCCATAGACAGAGGAGCCTGGCAGGCTACAGTCCAGTCTACGGGGTCACAAGAGTCGGACACGACTTTTCAATTAAACCACCACCTACCAGGGACACCAGTCAATGTCTGGAGACATTTTTGACTGTTACACGTAAGGGAATATAACTGGCTTTTAAAGGGGCAGAGGCCAGTGCATGCGTGCTAGTCACTCATGTCCAACTCTTTGCAATCCTTTGTACTGCAGCCTGCCAGGATCCTCAGCCCATGGGATTTTTCAGGCGAGAATACTAGAACGGGTTGCCATTTCCTTCACCAGGGGATCTAACCGACCCAGGGATGCAATCCATGTCTCCTGCATTGCGGGTGGATTCTTCACCTGCTGAACTGTTGGGGAAGCCTTGCTAAAATATGATGTAAAGGTCAGACCCACCCCACACAGAATTATCCAGCCAAAAATGTCAATAGTGCAGAAGTTGAGAATCTCTGTTCTAGAGACAACAGCAGTTAGTCAGGGCTACAAACCACATCTATCAGTCAAGTCCTCTAATCCTCAAATCTAACCCCTCAAAACAATTATAAAAAAAAACAAAAAACACCCTAGCAAAAAACAGGCATTGTTCATCTGTTTTATCTGAATGAATGGTATTTTCTTTACTCAGCATCTCCAAGGTAACACTCCTTAATGAGGCTGTCTCATTTATTTGCTATGTCCTTGGCTATATAACAACAGTAACAATCTCTATCAACTAGTTATCAGCCAATCAGTCCTGGCCTACACAGTGTAAAGTGCATCTGTAATACACAGCTATAACTATACCTTAAATGATCTCTCAGCAGACCTAAATACATTATCTCCTTGCTTATTTTTGTCAGATAAGATATAAAAAAAATTAGCAATCTAATTTTCATACATTAAAAATCTAACTTAATATTAGTGCTACAAGGAAGATGACAAATAACTGTTTACAGTGACCCTGGTATAATACTGCTGGGACACAGAAAGAAAACAAAGAATTATGGACAGTGGTGTGTGACTCATGATTAGAATGTAAGCACAGAGAAGATGTGTTGATAATATTTTCATTGCTATGCCACAGACACCAAGTAATATTTACAAAACAAAAACAAAAACAAAACCAAAAACCATTAGATTAATAACAACATATATTAGATGCTTTTAATTTTACTGAAATTGTGTTTTGTTTCCCATTCTCTGAAACTTTTAAATAATAGTTACTAGTAAAAGAACTATTATTTATAGAGTACCTACTGTGTAATGGTAATGGGCTATGTGCTTTACATTCCTTTCACCTAAAATTTCATAAGAATCCTAGTAAGTGACAGAGCTGAGATTAGAACCAAGAGTCTATTTGCTTTCAAAGTTTCCAACACTCCATGTAAACGAAACAAAAAATAAAATGGAATATAAATGGATATGGGTGGCACTGACAAAGTCATTCTAATATTTGAGCAGAAGTTATTTTAATACAATACAATCTTCATTTCAATAGCATTAGCAAACAACTGTTTACTCAAAGATCAAAGGAGAGAAAAAAAGCTGCCAGGTTCAGAATTCCAGTTTTACACACACACACACACACACACACACACACACAAGCAGAGTCATGACATAAGTAAAATAGGATGGTTGGTTGGTCCAATAACTACACAGAAGAATTGGATTTTGAAATGAACCCTGGATTACCTGGCTACCATCTTCTTGTGCTTTTCGGATCATGTTTTGTCGTGAGTCAATCCAATAGAGTTGCTTGTCCAGGGGGTCATAGTCAATGGCCCGGACATTCCGAAGGCTGTGGATAGGAAGGATGATGTCAGGGCTCTGCTGTTCATCAATCACCATGCGGTTGATGGCACTCTTCTGACTGAAGAGTAGGAAAGTAGTTGGAGCTTAAAGAGAGAAAAAAGCAAATATGAAACAGTTATCCTAAGTCTCGGATCACTGGAAGATTTGATCGGCCTGTTGTCTGTATCTCACAAAAAACAGACATGTATGTTGAAGACATATATGAGACAAAACCCTCTGGAATGCCTCCAGAACTCTTAAAGGAAACACTGATCACACTCTGGTTACTAAACCAGTTATGAATTTACGCCATGACACAGCCAACTAGCCAGTTTTTCTCTGTCTTGTCCACAGTGGCATCATCACAGGACACCTATTTCAATGAATCATTTGACAAACAAAATTCCCCTGTCTACCAAGTAAATAATCTAACTACTCCATCACCTATTTTTGTGGGTGAAAGGAAGTCTGGGTCTCCATAGGTCAGAAAAGAGACTTCAAGATTGGTTTTAGTCTCAGTTCTCACATGATTTAGTCACTTGATCTTAACTACAACCTTCAACCTCCTTGGGTCAAAATTTACTCAACTAGAAGGTTATAGTTATGCTACCCCGCTCACTGAGTTGCTACAAGAATTTTATAACATAAGTAAAAATAAAAAGGTATTATGTCAATTGTACAATGCTGTTGTTTAGTCACGAAGTTATGCCTCTTTTACAACCTCAAGGACTGTAGCCCGCCAGGTTCCTCCCCATGGGATTCTCCAGGCAAGAATACTGGAGTGGGTTGCAATTTCCTTCTCCAGAGGATCTTCCTAATCCAGGGACTGGACCCACATCTCCTGCATTGGAAGTAGGATTCTTTACTACTGAGCCACCAGGGAAGCCCCAATTGTACAATACCTGAACAAAAAAACTATAAGGCATTATATAAATGTCAAGTAAAAATAGCTATTGTTTCCTATTATCAGTAGTGGCAATAATAAATGTGGTGTTAGTAGGAATGAAACAAACCCTCATGGGTCGTAGATAAAGGCTTTGTTTTACATTGTGGGGATGTAATTGTTGCAAGGAGAGGGAACCATTAAAAAAAAAAAGTCACACGCTAAGTTGATGCCTGATGCCTATGAAAACAGGGAAATGCAGCCAAGACATTTCCCTGTCCCAGGGACTAGGCCTCTGATTACTATGCAGTCATCTTTAATGGAGGAGAGTATCTAGAAAAGAACACCATCTGACAAAGCTACCAAAAACTTCAAAGTCTAACAGTCTTTTTTAAAATCTTCATTAAAATAAATGAAAAAAGTCCCCAAATTATACTCTCTTCTCTTGTTGCTCAGTCATCACCTAAATCCAGCAGAATTTTGTCCTTATCAGTGATATAAACATAAATGGCCAAAACAGAACTCCTTGCTTTATCTCTCCCTAAACCCCATTCTTCACAGTGCCCTTACTTGTGGTTCCCAGGTTGATGTTACACCTACACCCAGATGTACATCAGCTTAAATCTTGAAGAAATCATGGCTTCTCACAAAGAAACTTGGTATTCACAACCCTGAAATTCTGCTTTAAGCTCCCCACTGGCTGAAAGTCCATGCCTAGCTTGGAAGATTTAGAAATATTTCAATGACTCCACTGAACTCTCCATTGTGTAGACTCCACAGCACACTGATTTAACAGCTTTCAGCAATTTTAGTAGAACCAACACCTTAAGTAGTAAGAATACACGTCACAACAGAGTAGGTAACAAGTGTCCCATTTTTTTAAAAAAAGAATTATTCTTTGGCAGTACTACTTCCTTGTAAATCAAGAAAATAGAAAAAAAAAGAAAAAGAAAAAAAAAGGTCCTGAATAAGCTTACAATAATAAGCTTACAATAGTAAGCTTCCAAAAAAATAGCATATTAAAACATACAATGAAACTCAGAAGAAAGACCCCCCAGTTTTAGCTGCCAAATTTTCCTGCCTGGAAAATAATCAATTAAATATATATTTGGTTCCTAGTTATGTTTCACTTTGTACTGTTTTTTTTCTTTCTTTGAGTCAAATTTTAACCTTTAATAAGCTTTCACGATTAGGTGTTCTAGAAACATAGATGATGACAAAGCCAAATATGGCTCCAAATAAATACTCATTTCAAAAAGTTTATGGATGACATTAATTTCAGCTGGCTAAATATTTCCAGGAGGAAGCTGATGTTTCGAGTTATTTACAAAAGGGACGAAGAATATGCAGTTTTGTAAGCCTAAACCCACGCTGATTTATGTCGCCTGTAACCACCATCCCCTCGTCTCCTGCAGAAGGGTTTCCAAACGGTCCTGTCGGGCTGCCTCAGTGCTGCACTCCCACATGCAGGAGCTGCAGGAGGAGGTGTAAGCAGGCAGGAGCTTTTCAGCCCTCCTCTGAAGACACAAGTGTTGTCCCAATGCTTAAAGAAAGGTTCCACTCTGGCGTAAGAACACTGTAAGTGACAAGCCCAGGCCCACCACGTTGGACTGTGCCATCTCTGAGCTGTGCCAAAGGCCTCGAGTAGGGACTGAATTCCAGGCCACACCTGGGTAGCCAAGTCAAGAACCTGGGCAGCTGCATGTGCCCAGAGGAAACACCTTTTCTCAATCTGCACAAAGCTGCCAAAGAGGCCAACTGCTTCAGTACTGAACACAGGATTACACAATGTGGCCTCCTGCTTCCTCTCTGACTTAATTTCTTTACACTCTGTTCCAGAGACACTGGTCCCCAGGTGTTTGTCCAACATGCCAGACATGTTTCCCGCAGGGCCTCTGTATTTGCTGTTCCCCTCTGCTTGACAGGTCTTCTCCCAGAGAGCCAGCACAGCTCATTTCCTCACCTCCCTCAGTTCCTGACATAGTATCACTTTTATGCCAGGACTTCTCTCATGATCCTATTTAACATCAAGATCCTCCTACTCACCCTTTCCTGCTCATAATTTTCTCCATAACACTCATCTCCATCTACCTCATGATATAGTTTACTTATTTAGTTCAAGATCTATCCCGATGGAATGTAACCTCCACAAGGGCAGGGATTAATATCTGTTTCATTCAGCGATACAGTTTTCATTGGCTCAAATAATGCCCAGTGTGGATTAGCTGTTCAGTAAATATTCACTGAAAGAATACATGAGTAAACAAATGAAGAAACAAGCATGAGATGACATCAGTAAGGAGAGCCCTATAGCCATGATTCTGAAAGAAAATAAAATTATTTCCAAGAACTGGGGGAGAAAAAGAAACAAGCATTTACTTAGAACCTCCAGCATGCCACACATCATACTAGATGTCCTCTAGTGCCCTAAACTATTCCACTTTACAGGTGAGCAAACAGAATAGTTAACTAGTTTTTAAAGAAAGGTTAAGTAATTGTTCGCAGGTCACAAAGCTGCTGAATGGAAAAACACCTGTTTTTCCAAATCCTGTCTTGCTTCTTCGTTCTTCTACTGAACAATGATTTCTTGAATGACTACTATTTACCCGAAAACTATTTTAGGCACCTTAGATACACATCAGTTAAAAAACAGGGAAAAAAAAATTGCTTCATGGAATTTATATTCCAATAAACAGACAGTAAGTAATAAACATAATAAAGACGCTATAGTATATAAGTAATGAATTACATAGCATACCGGAGAGTGATTAAGAGTCATGGGAAAAAGAATTGTAGGTAAGGGCACTGGCAACGCAAGACTGGGTGAAGGAGGACTTGCAACTTTAAATAGGTCAGATTAGGTCTCTCTGGGGAAGTCACGATTAAGTCAAGACATGGAGGTGAAGTATATGCATGCAAATATTCGCAGGAAAACATTCCCAGTAGAAGAACTGCGCAGTACCACAGTCCTGAAGTAGGAGTAACTGGCACATGTGAAAAGAGCACTGAGGCGAGTGTGGCTGCCATGGAGAGAGACAGAGAACAGTAAAAGCTGAAGTCAGAGAAGCAAGGGAGTGGGGAGGCTGTGAAGGCACAGATCATGCAGGAACTTGTAGGTCATTAGAAGAATGAGGTTTTTACTCCTTGTGAAACAGAAGATTTTGAGTAGAGAAAGGCCATGATCTGATTTAGCTTTTGAAACACAGGTCCAGGAGTAAACAACACAACGTTAGAAAACTTTCTGAGGGTAAGTACTTTGTGTTAAACTTCTCTTGTAATCTTCTTTGGGATTTAATACATCTCTGCGCAAATATTAAATAATACACATTACAAAAAAAGAATACATGGACAGGAAGCCTCTGGAAACATTGCTGATCATCTCAGAAATGAAATGGCCCAAGACAGACATCAGGGACATTCAGCAGTGATTTCTCATAACCTTTATTTACCAACTAGAACATTCTGGTATAAACATCCCAAACAATGACCTCGAAAGGCCTTTCCATATTCTTCTATCTCCATCCTCCATCACTTCTTACCCCTATTTTCTCCTTCCAAAGTCAAACTCCTTTAAAAAAAAAAAAATCTACATGACACACACACTATCAATCCCTTTCTGGGCTCCATTCACGTGTTGATCTATTTCCATCTTTTGCTGTTACTTTCCTGAAATTACTTTCTCTCAGGATCACTAACAACCACCTCACCCAAACATCCAGTGGGTAATTTAGGCTCCCCTGCCCAGCCTCTCAGCAGCACTCGCCACACAGGCCTGCCCCGCGACAGCCTTCTCTCCCGCCTCTGGGTCCTACCCTCTGGCCTCTCTGGCTGGTGCTCCACAGTGTCTACCGAGAGCTTGCCCTCCTCAACCAGGGCTCCTGAGGTTACCGAGACCCCGTCTTTTCTCCAGACCAGGAGCTGGCAAACTATGGCCCACAAGGTACATCTGGCCTGCTGCCTGTTTTTGTAACAAAGTTTATCAGAATTGATCCAATTTTAAAAACAAATCATCTGTGGCTGCTTTCACATAGCAGTGGGCAGGGCTGAAGAGGTGTGTGAGAGACTACAGGCTTCACGAAGCCTAAATATTCACTCTCTGGCTCATTAAAGAAAAAGTTTGCTGACCCCCAGGTATACAGCTTCTCCCTAAGTGCCCATTTTAAATCCATGCTGGCATTTCTAAAATTTATGCCTCTAACTTCATTTCTTCTTCTCTGAGCTAAAAATTCCTCTATCCAATTACCGATTTAATGCTTCTATTTCCCATAGGAAAATCAATATAAACTTGACTAAAATTACTTTTTAATTCTTCTTGAAAATTAATCTTTCCCATTTATTATCAACTGCTCAAATCAAAAATCTAGGCATCATTCTGCTTCCTCCCTCTTCTCCTTCTTCATATACAATCCATTAACAAGTTTGGTTCATTCAAAATACACCTTGAATCCATCAGCATCTCTGCACAACTTCCACCACCCCAGTTCAAACTGACCTGCATTATCACAGCAGTCTGACTGACCGACCTGCTTCCACTTATTTTCCTCCTCAAATCCATTCTCCACAGCAATCAAATCATGCTATACTTTACTCAATTTTCATAGCAATCCTACAAGGTAATAACTGTTACTATTCCCACTGTCCAAATAAGAAAAATCAAAAGGCTTAAAAAATCTGTGACTTGCTTTAGTAAAACACAAACTAATGTGTGACACAGACTGCAGATCATTCACCTATAAACTGAAGTCCCTTCTTTTTCAGAACTCAGCCTTGTGTGAGAACACTAACTCCTTGCCTATGTGACCCCTATACTTTCAGGCACAGAATACAGTAATTTCAGTCATTCATTATATGCAATGTCCTACAGCAGTTGTTACCTTCTAACACAGTGAACCATACCCTACCTTTCTCCTATGAATCTACATTTCCTGATCTAATTCTCTATTTCTTTATCGTATCTACCAATTTCTAATTTGTTCTCATGTATTCAAAAGACATGGACCTTCACATAAACCTGAGTCACAAATCAGGATTCCCCAAGCCAACAATGTTTTGTTATACACCGTGTCCTGGTGTTCCAAGCAGAGTGTGTGTGTGTGTGTGTCTGTCTGTCTGTCTTTGTGTGTGTGAACTCAGATTCGTGGCCTGGTGTTCCAAGCAGAGTGTGTGTGTGTGTCTGTCTGTCTGTCTGTCTTTGTGTGTGTGAACTCAGATTCGTGGCCTGGTGTTCCAAGCAGTGTGTGTGTGTGTGTGTGTGTATGTGTGTGCGCGCGTCTGTCTGTCTGTCTGTCTGTCTTTGTGTGTGTGAACTCAGATTCGTGGCCTGGTGTTCCAAGCAGTGTGTGTGTGTGTCAGATTCGTGGCCTGGTGTTCCAAGCAGACTGTGTGTGTGTCAGATTCGTGGCCTGGTGTTCCAAGCAGTGTGTGTGTGTGTGTGTGTGTGTGTGTGTGTGTGTGTGTGTCCCCATCTGTATTTGTGTGTGTGTGTGTCAGATTTGTGGCCTGGTGTTCCAAGCAGAGTGTGTGTGTGTGTCTGTCTGTCTTTGTGTGTGTGAACTCAGATTCGTGGCCTGGTGTTCCAAGCAGTGTGTGTGTGTGTGTGTGTGTGTGTGTGTGTGTGTGTGTGTGTGTCTGTCTGTCTTTGTGTGTGTGTGTCCATCTGTCTTTGTGTGTGTGTGTGTCAGATTCGTGGCCTGGTGTTCCAAGCAGAGTGTGTGTGTGTGTGTGTGTCTGTCTGTCTGTCTTTGTGTGTGTGAACTCAGATTCGTGACCTGGTGTTCCAAGCAGTGTGTGTGTGTGTGTGTGTGTGTGTGTGTGTGAGTCTGTCTGTCTGTCTTTGTGTGTGTGAACTCAAGATTCGTGGCCTGGTGTTCCAAGCAGACTGTGTGTGTGTGTGTGTCAGATTTGTGGCCTGGTGTTCCAAGCAGTGTGTGTGTGTGTGTGTGTGTGTGTGTGTGTGTGTGTGTGTGTGTGTCTATCTGTCTTTGTGTGTGTGAACTCAGATTCGTGGCCTGGTGTTCCAAGCAGACTGTGTGTGTGTGTGTGTGTCTTTGTGCGTATGAACTCAGATTCGTGGCCTGGTATTCCAAGCAGACTGTGTGTGTGTGTGTGTGTGTGTCTTTGTGCGTGTGAACCCAGATTCGTGGCCTGGTGTTCCAAGCAGACTGTGTGTGTGTGTGTGTGTGTGTCTTTGTGCGTGTGAACCCAGATTCGTGGCCTGGTGTTCCAAGCAGACTGTGTGTGTGTCTTTGTGCGTGTGAACCCAGATCCGTGGCCTGGTGTTCCAAGCAGACTGTGTGTGTGTGTGTGTGTGTGTGTGTGTGTGTGTGTGTGTGTGTCTCTGTGCATGTGAACCCAGATTCGTGGCCTGGTGTTCCAAGCAGACTGTGTGTGTGTGTGTGTGTGTCTCTGTGCATGTGAACCCAGATTCGTGGCCTGGTGTTCCAAGCAGACTGTGTGTGTGTGTGTGTGTGTGTGTGTGTGTGTGTCTGTGTCTGTGCATGTGAACCCAGATTCGTGGCCTGGTGTTCCAAGCAGACTGTGTGTGTGTGTGTGTGTGTGTGTCTGTGTCTGTGCATGTGAACCCAGATTCGTGGCCTGGTGTTCCAAGCAGACTGTGTGTGTGTGTGTGTGTGTGTGTGTGTCTCTGTCTGTCTTTGTGCGTGTGAACCCAGACTCGTGGCTAGATGAGACGACCTGGTACCATTAGCTAGAATAAGGTGGCAACCACTCAGTGTGTTCAGAGCCTGTGCTCTCTAACTTGCCTCCCCATCTACTTACTATTGTTTCATATTGGCTACATTTACTCATAAGCCTGGCCTCTTGCACACTTACATTTTTCATCTTTAGCCTATTCTGCAAACTTCAAAGGACAAGTAGATTATATTTTGTAGAGTCTCTTTGTTGTACTATTTGTACTGTTCTTTCCCTCCTTCACCATGAATAAATATGAATTATGTCTAGCACACATGCATGTTCTCTCAAAGAAGCTATGCAAATTTTGCTATTCATATTTAATCCCCAAGGATCAAATACTTACTTTTCCTATAATATAAATTTTTCCATAACATCAACCAGTTATCATAGAACGAAAATAACAAAAACTTGCACTTTTTCACTTTTAGTCCTTCCCTTTTATACAAACAAATGATCAACTCTGGACTTTGACAACTTCTCACTCTAGAAAGAATATGAACTACAGTGTTTTCAAAAGTCTGCTTCTTCTTCTAACTTTAGTTTGCATTGAGGAGGGAAATGCAGCTTACCACTACAAGTCCTGTTGTCAGCATTCAGAGAGTAGTGGGCAGGGCATCCACAAACGAAACCTCCGACTGGCACAGCCAAGCAGAGGTGGGAGCAGTGCCCGTTGCTGGAAGCACACTCGTTCCATCCTGCCTGCCGTGAGGAGTGAAACACGAGGATGTCCATCACATAATCCAAGTGGCCTTGAATGATGGTGCGGTTTTGGCCACTGGTTTTGTTGGCACGCTCAATGCTGCGTCGGCTCCAGTCCGTCCAGTAGATGTAATCTTGGTACTGAGTTAAGCCAAAAGGATGAGGCAAGTCATCTGCTATAACTTCACGGTTGAGTCCTATTTTCAGAAAGGCAGCAGACAGGGGAGACGCAGAAAGATGTAATATGTGAGAAAGTGAGAGTCTTGTTGGCAAAGAAAAAGAAAAGGTAACATTTAAAACATTACTTTTGTAAGCAATTTAAAGTAGAAGAATTCCTTCAAAAGCAATTCTTAAACCAGACAAGTCTTCTGAAATCAATCCATCTGCAGTCTGAACCCATACCTCAAACTAATATTTTTTTGTTCTAAAAATCACTGAGTTTGTTTAACTCCTGTAGATGGTCTATTTTGATTGTGGTCTTATTTTCCCTCCATAAAGGTCTACAGTTCAACTCTTTTTCCTTCCATAAAAAGATGGAAATGTATATACTGTATTTTACTGCTACAAAAAGTCACTTCAGAAATATCCAGGGAGTTATAAATTTCATTATAAGCCCAACAGTAATGAAATTCCACATATTAAAGAGATATGAATCCAAGTACTTGGCCCACTATTAATAAATAGGATACAATGTGAGACAGAGGATGAACCCAGACATTCATATGAAGTTTTATAAACAGTATCATATCTAATCTATGGTAAACAGCAGCCACTGATTTTTGCACGGAAAGGATTATATACTATTTCTCTGAACAAAAAAAGAATAGAGCTTACCAAGCATATTTGAAGACTCTATTAAGTTGGTGTCCAGGTCTGTCCAATAAAGCCTCCTTTTAGCATAATCAATAGTTAGGCCGTTTGCTCGTCCCACATTTGGAACTAGTGTAGTACGTTCACTTCCATCCATGGCAGCTCTGTCTATCTTAGGTTTTCCACCCCATTCAGTCCAATACATAAATCTAAATTCAAACCAATGGATATTTAACATTTCACTTTTGATTATTTGGGAGAAAGGATCATATTCATGTACTGAAAGTTATAGTAACTAAGTAAATTTAAAGAAAATATACACTAAATAAAGGAAATTGGCAAAGCAAAATCATAGCTATTAATTTTTTTCAATTACATTGGCAGTCTCAACTAAATATTTTTTCTCATATCCTAAAAAGGAAGTGAGTCAGCTTTCCTTAGTGTTTCCAATGAATCTGTTCCATCCAAAACCTAGGAATTGGAAACAAACCCATGGCTTCCTTACTGCAGCACTTGCATTTATAAAACTAATATTCAAGAAGAAGATAGCAAAGGATTAAAGCGCTAGTCTCAGAATTTGACTCGCTTCAGAACAAAATACATGTATTTCTGAAGACAAGTAATTGGAGTTTCTAAATTTTTAAAACTTACTTTCTGATTTGTGTAAATCACTCTCCCAAAAACCAAGTTGCAGCAGTACATCAAAGGGACAACTTAACAACTGTGAACTGAAGTTTAAAAGGAAAGTTTGAAAAGCATTTGGTCACACTGTCTGAAGTAGCACACTACCGAATCACACACACCCCTTAGTGTATCAGCTGAGCAATGAACACTACTACTACAGTCCCTGTGAATGTACTCTTTTGGGTTCTTCATGTTAACTGGAGAGCAGCCGCACAGTACAGACTTTTGCAGAAGAGGAGGACAAGGCCCTACAAAAAGTGCAACTGATCTGTCTAATGTCTTCAAGCCAGTCATATGGCAGAGCTAGAACTAGAAGGTAATTCTCAGCCAAATGCCTTTTGGACTGAACCAGCAGTGCTAGTTTCAAGACACTTTGAATACTGGGTCTAGGAAAGTTCTCCGCATGCCACATCTCATCAACTACCCAAACGAGACGTTCACTCATCAGTCCATGAGCTGATGGTTGACTTGGTAGCAATGTATAAACACACTTTCCTGAAAACTCAAGTTGCCTTGGGCTTTGTTTGCATTTGTACTTGTCAGCTAACAGGCACGAGTACATCCCAAGAGCCAAAGAGAAAACAACTGTGGGAGAAATATCACAGTTGCCAGCAGCCACGTAAACTAGAGTCCTTCGTCCCAACTACTAAATTTATCTGTCTGGTAACTAATACCTAAAGTAAAAATCACCATAGGCCAATCACAACATGTCAGCATAGAGATAGTGCCTTTGGTATGACTTTCTAACTACATGGGCAGCAAGCTAACCATGGAATTGACTGATTCAGGGAAACAACTTTTCAATATGGCCATGGTCAATGTGCTGATATGTTTACAAGGTTAACTTCTGCTTTTTAAAATGGAGTTATTCTTCAAAATTCAGCTTTCTTACATGATGGGTTTTTGTTGTTGTTGTTCAGTCGTCCAGTTGTGTCCGATTCTTTGTGACTCCATGGACTGCAGCACACCAGGCCTCCCAGTCCCTTATCATTTCCCAGAGTTTGCCCAAGTTCATGTTCAGTGCATCAGGGATGCCATCCAGCCATCTCATCCTCTGGCACACTCCTCTCCCTCTGCCCACAGTTTTTCCCAGCATCAGGGACTTTTCCAATGAGTCAGCTCTTCACATCAGATGACCAAAATACTGGAGCTTCAGCTTTAGCATCAGTCGTTACAATGAGTATTCAGGGTTGATTTCCCTTAAGATTGACTGGTTTGATCTTGCTATCCAAGGGACTTTCAGGAATCTTCACCAGCACCACAGTTTGAAGGCATCAATTCTTTGGCATTTTGCCTTCTTTACAGTCCAGCTCTCACAACCATACGTGACCACTGGGAAGACCGTAGCCTTGACTATACAGTTCTTTTTTTAAAACTTGCTAAATCATGTAAGAAGGATCATCTACCCTTGAAAAACATGTCACGTTGTAAATAAGTTTATCAGAAAGTTCACTGTTTAATATCAAAGTTTCTCCAAGTTTATAATAATAACTAATTATCCCTTTTTGAATTAATGAACATTCTAAAGTAGAGCTTTTTAATGTAGTTATTTCTTAGCACACATTATCTCAGTGGGTTTATTTTCACAGGTTTAGAATCTGGTATAACTTGGGAGAGAGTGCAAGCAAACAGACTTCATGACACCTTTCAAAAGGCTGTGTACTTAGCATATAAATACAATCATTAATATTTCATTACTAACCCATTTCACTAATTTTTAGTCACCTAATGCTAATAATGACAAAAGTAAAATTCAGCTAATTATTAATTCTAAATCAGTGAAATCTCAACTAATGATTTTAAGATAAAAGCTATCTATGATTTACCTGTCAGCTTCCTAATAAGCATGATTTAAAGACATCAAGAATATAATCCATAACTAGGCCATGCGAAATACAGTTGTTGCAAAGAATGCATATGAAAAGCTGCTTACCCTTCAGCGGGGTCCAACGCAAGAGCTCTGGGACTATCTAGGTCTTTCCACACCAAAACTTGCCGGTGCTGCCCATCCAACTTTGACACCTCAATTCGATTGGTTCCCGTGTCTGCCCAGTACAAGTTCTTCCCAAGCCAGTCTACGGCCATGCCTTCCGGATAATCTAAGCCAAATTCTACCACGTGTTCCAGGGCACTGCCATTCATAAAGGCCCTGCTGATGGTCTGCAGAAATAAGATTAACAACGTTGTCACAGGGCTTAGATACAAAACCCTAAGGTTTTAAGGGAAGACACAGAAGAGCCAAAGGCACAGTTTCTCAATACAATTTCACATATTTTATGAGCACAGTAAAAAAAAAAAAAAAGATGTCAACCTCCAATGAACACAACCGCAACCTCAAGTTTCACTGTCAATTCAGGGAGAAATTTTTCAAAGTCTTAATAATCAGAAATTTATTCTAGGAAAACAGTGGAGTGACTATTCTTGTAAAACGTATTAGTAATCAAGTGAAAAAGATGTGACCAGAGTATTGTAGACTTTTAACTGGTAGTCAGTTGCCTGACCTTCAGCTTCTCGACTTCCAACCTGGTGGCGCAAATGGTAAAGAATCTGCCTGCACTGCAAGGGGCCCAGGTTCAGTCTCTGGGATGGGAAGATCCCATGAAGAAGGAAATAGCAGCTCACTCCAGTCTTTTTGCCTGGAGAATCCCATGGACAGAGGAGCCTGGCGGGCTACAGTCTATGGGCTCGCAAAGAATCAGACACGACTGAGCGACCAACACACACACAGCTCCCTAAAGGTGCTTGAGAGTACAAAAGTCATTGCATCAACTGAGGAAGAGCTCAACAACCTGACGCCTTGCAAAATGCACATGACACTAATCATATCGTTGCCACTGTAGCTGTGAGTCCCCTAAAAATTATCATAGTCACAATTCAAGCTACTGATGATATGACACTAATCATATCGTTGCCACTGTAGCTGTGAGTCCCCTAAAAATTAACATAGTCACAATTCAAGCTACTGATGATAGCTCCTACTGCATGGGAAGTGCCATCCCAAGTGTTTGGTGTACATGTATTTTCTCATTTACTGCTCACAAAAGCACTGCAAGATGGGCATTATCTCTGCTTTCAAGATGAGGAAACTCACAAGCCCACACAATAAAGCATTTATTTACTCACTCATTTAACAGATTTTACTGACCACCATTACAGTCTAACTCTGGCTCTAATACGATTTTTGCATATTAGACAAAGTTTTACATAAGCTACCTAAAACAGGTCCAAAAGAATCTGGAAGAAGGAAGAATTATGCTCTAGATTCTCTGGTCAAGAGCCCCTCCTTACTGACTCAGTAAGCTTGTCAATTTATTCTAGGGATGGGAGGGGTAGGGGAGAGAAGGTATGCGATAACTCATAATTGGCATTTTCTACCTCAGTCAGGTGTCAAACAAAATTTTTTTTAATAAACTAAGGAGTCCAGTCTCTATAAGCCATTTATGTGAAGAATACAAGTGCTTACTCTCTAGCTGAGGAAAATGTCACTTATGTATTCAAATAGAATGAAACAGAGGAAGATTATGTCTTGCAGATTTAGAATAGTCAAACTATCTTGCACTAAAAACACTAGAGATACTTAACAAAATACTGAATGGGCCTTCTCCTTGGCTTCCTTTAAAATGTTAAGGGTTTTTTGTTGAACTCTCGCCCATTAAGTAATGAAGGAAGCTGGTAACAGCATGAAGACTCAGAAAATCTTGAAGCTCTCCCCACTAGTCCCCAGTTCTAATATTCCAATTCTCTAGCTAACCTTGAGTGATATGTCAGTCCAGTAAATCCGGTTGTCTGTCACGTCAAAATCCAAAGCAGAAGCTTCTTTGACACCAGTGAGTGGAATGGCCACGTTATTATTATTAGTTTCCAACGAAATTCTCCTGATGTCAGCTCTTCGTGAAAACAGAAGGAAAGCCTCTGGGACAATGCAGGTCTTCATGTCACTGATGAGTTCAAAGCCAATGGGGCAGGCACAGCGAAGGCCCTGGGGTCTATAGAGGCAGAGATGGCTACATCCACCATTATCCTCAGCGCAGGGGTTGGAACCTAAAATACAAATTCATTATAAAAGGACACACAATCGACATAATCAACACATTTTCAATTTAAATGACTAGGCATCTCCTTGACAAAGAACTAGGATTATATCTGTCCCCAAATCTAAAGTTTCAGTTCTAATCTCACAAACAAGCATTATGAGGATTAACAGGGAATAAAAGGCCAGGAACACTGGTGCAGACCTGTAGTCCCAGCTACGCCAGAGGCTGAGCAGGATGGTTCCAGCCCAGGAATTCTGACTGGAGCTGTACTAGGCTGACTGGGTGTCTGACTAAGTTGGTGGCAGTATGGTGATGTCCCAGGAGCGGTGAATTGGCCCAAGCTGAAAATGGAGCAGGTCAGGAATCAACAGTTGGAACTGGACATGGAACAACAGAATGGTTCCAAATAGTAAAAGGAGTACGTCAAGGCTGTATATAGTCACCCTGCTTATTTAACTTATATGCAGAGTACATCATGAGAAACGATGGGCTGGAGGAAGCAGAAGCTGTAATCAAGATTGCCAGGAGAAATATCCATAACCTCAGATATGCAGATGACACCACCCTTATGGCAGAAAGGGAAGAAGAACTAAAGGGCCTCTTGATGAAAGTGATAAGAGGAGAATGAAAAAGTTGGCTTAAAGCTCAACATTCAGAAAACTAAGATTATGGCATCCGGTCCCATCACTTCAGGGCAAATAGATGGGGAAACAGTAGAAAGAATGGCTGACTTTATTTTTATGGGCTCCAAAATCACTGCAGATGGTGACTGCAGCCTTGAAATTAAAAGATGCTTACTCCTTGGAAGGAAAGTTATGACCAACCTAGACAGCATATTAAAAAGCTGAGACAACACTTTGTCAACAAAGGTCTGTCCAGTCAATACTATGGTTTTTCCAGTGGTCATGTATGGATGTGAGAGCTGGACTATAAAGAAAGCTGAGTGCCGAAGAGTTGATGCTTTTGAACTGTGGTGTTGGAGATGACTCTTGAGAGTCCCTTGGACTGCAAGGAGATCCACCCAGTCCAACCTAAAGAAGTGTTCATTCAGTCCTGGGTGTTCATTGGAAGGACTGATGTTGAAGCTGAAACTCCAATAATTTGGCCACCTGATGCGACAAGCTGACTCATTGGAAAAGACCTGATGCTGGGAAAGATTGAAGGCGGGAGGAGAAGGGGACGACAGAAGATGAGATGGTTGGATGGCATCACCGACTCAACGGACATGAGTTTGAGTAAACTCCAGGAGTTGGTGATGGACAGGGAGGCCTGGCGTGCTGCGGTTCATGGGGTCGCAGAGAGTCGGACACGACTGAGCGACTGAACTGAAAACAGAGCAGGTCAAAACTCTCGTGCTGATCAACTGGGAATAAGCATATGACAAAATTACTTTTCTATGTACCCAAAGGAAGCTTTAAGCAAACTGCATTATTCATACAATAGAAGTTCTTTTTCTGACAGAGTGTGTGGGTGTTAAGTTTAGCCCTTCAATTCAAACTATGCAGCCAGTATTGAACCAACATTTAAAGGTCCATCCCTGCCAATCGACCCAATGACTTGAGTTCTCATTTGTCCCTGGGTAAACACCTTTAAAGAAACTTCTTGATTCAAAAATTATTCACGGATGCCTAGATGGTACCCAGCACTGGTCATCCACAAGTATCACTGAACTTGGCGATACGCTGAAAACTGGTCTGGAGGTTTCAGGAACCAGAAGAAAGTGATTTGGAGTATTTTCTCCTGGGACGTTTATCTGGGTTTGACGGTGGGAAGTGGAAGGAAGTTGACTGATACACCCTTGGAAAGAAGGTAATTGTCTAAAAACTGTTCACTGTCTTCCTTGACTTAGCCACTATGAAACACCATGGGCTATGAAGTAAAAGGCAACAAATTTTTAAGAAAAACATAAAATGTACTTGTACCACAAAGAATATATTAACTTTGTGAGCTTCAACAAATTAAATAATCTCCTTAAAAGAGGAAAAAAAAAAAAGGTCCATTTCTCATTACAGAAGGCTTAACAGACGATTTTTACATCCTGTCAAAACATCAACAATTGACACTGCTGACTTTATAAGCTGCTAACTGTATCTTTTCTCATTCCTGGTTCATCCTCTAAGAGTGCTGTGGAATTACCTACCAATGACTCGATGAACATTTGTGGCCTTCAGGCCCATGAGGTCAGGGAGCTGATCTATGATGACCTCCCGCTCTGCACTGCGTTTGTGCACTCTTTCGATGCTCCGCCTCTGCCAGTCAGTCCAGTAGACATAGTCACCCAACAAGGTAAACCCAAATATGTGGGGGATTTTGTCTTCCACGAGCACTCGTCTCCCAGTCCCATCGGTATTCATAACCTTCAAGTTTAAGTTTAAAGAGAAGGAAGAGGAAAAGATGTGTACTTATTCTTCATATATATGTAAAAAATGACAAAAACCAACCATGCTTTCATCAAAATCCAAGAGATCTTAGTTATTTCTATTACAATGCTTTCACAAAATGACAATATGCTGATTTAATAAGAATGATTTCAAAGACTCAATACAGGCTTATATTTAACTTCTATTTCTCCATTCTCTTATTAACTTTCCTTCTAAAAATTCTGACATTAGATTTAGTATGCATCTCCTATATTAAATGACCAAATAAAAATTAAAAGTACAATATTATCACCTTAAGTTTGCTTGTCCATCTGTCTTCAAATTAGTGTACCTTTGCACACATCATACCAGTATATATTTTGTTTTATGACACATTTTATTTTATCCTGAAAGTTTTGCTTTTTTAATATCTAAGGAAACAGATTCAAATAAGGTCACACAGCTTGTAAACAGAATTGGTGTCTTTTTTAGGACTCCTTCTGCTTAGTATGTTTTTTATTTCACTGTTCGAAGATTTTTTTAAAACTACACGTAACAGGATTCTCAATAATCTCTCAGTCCTCTAAGGTTCTAATCACAAAACTGTCAGGTGGCTGACACTCTAGATACTCTCTCCACAACTAAGGTTCGAGTAACTAGGCTGTATCTACAGTAACATGATTAAATTCACCCTGACACTGCCATTACAACAGAAGCAATTTCTCTAGAAGTGGCAAAGGTGTCTAACCTGTCTCTGACACCACAGAAACACGTACTAATCTTCGGTTCTAAAAGACAGGAAGTCTTCCAAAGCACCAACTTTCAAGTTCCCAAATGAGAACATTTCTACCATTTAAAGTGGCCTGGGGGGGAAAAAATAAAATAAAATAAAAGTGAAATAAAAATAAATAAAGTGGCCTGGGGGATCTCCCTGGTAGTTCTCTGGCTAAGATTATGATCTCCCAAATAAAGGTGACCTGGATTCAATCCCTGGTCAGGGAACTAAATTCCACATGCTTCAACTAAAAATCCCATTAGAAACAACTAAGACTCAGGGCAGCCAAATAAATAAATAAATAAATATTTTTCTTTAAAAAGTAGTCTAGGTGCCAGGCAAATCAGCCTTCAGAAATGTGGCTAAAAACCTGTACATATAAACATCTGCCACCCACTCACCTAAAAAGAAGTATCAGGTATAATCTTAGGCAAGTACTAATTTTTTATCCGTAAACTATATTCCATGTAAATCAATACTATGATGCCTAGATGGAATGACAAGCAAATACTATCTTTCTCTCTCCTCTCTAAAAATTTTAAAATACTTGCTGACCTTTCCAAAACAGCCAACTCTTTGAAATAAAATATTTAAAAACTTAGCAAAATCGTGCTATGTCCTTATATCTTCAACTGCAAATATTGATTTATATCTGATGGAAGAGAGATTGTTAGTTAAATGTTTGTATCTGATACAACAGGACTTCTATTAATCCAACTGAATAAATCTGTCTTTAAACAGAATGTTTCTAAAAGTAAAAAAACATGGTTCAAAATAATTAACTACTACTCCAACCCTTAATATTAAACACTTTTTAAGGTTAATAATTTCTCCTTAATTTGAGACATGAGTTTAGATTTTTTTATATTCACATTTTCCTGCAACAGACCATTCCTAGATATATTTCATTATGTCTATGGTTTATCTTGAAGTTATTTTGGTGTTTAATAAAAGTAAAATGACTAAGTGGTCACTTTACTGAAGAGAGAACACAGGCTGATAATCTGTTTACTCATCTAACTAGAAAGTCATCTCAAGAAAACCAGGAACCTAATTCATCTACTTCCTATTACATCATTCATAGCTACGATTAAGAGTCTGATGAAGAACTCAATGAATATTTTTAAAACAATTTTTAAAAGGAAAGCAGTTTCCTAAGACACTCAAGAAACCTTCTTAAAAATGGAAATGAAAATGTATAGAACAGTTCTCATCCTCAGACCCTAGTCTGGCCATGTGCATGAATAAATATTATCCTTGCTCAAATTTTAAATTCATATAAAAATGCACACTAGCATCTACTTTTGGAGAATGAACATATTCCTGATTCCCTCCTATAACCAGAGCTCCAAGAAAGAATTTCTGGCCCCATTTTACTACTTACTGCCTGGAAACTCTGATCAGGGTGAAAATCTTTCCTATACAGGATCTAATTTTAAAAAAGACTAGCATTTTGAAGGAAGGCTTATGCATGTGTATTTAAAAGAAGTATATGTGAAATTTTATAGATTTTAATAAAGTATATTAGCATATTTTTGGTTGTTTAGTCACTAGGTTGTGTCTGACTCTTTGCGACCCCGCCAATTCCTCTGTCCATGGGATTATCCAGGCAAGAATACTGGAGTGAACTGCCATTTCCTTCTCCAGGGGATCTTCCCAATCCAGGGATCGAACCGTGTCTCCTGCAATGGCAGGCGGATTCCTCACCGCTGAGCCACCAGGGAAGCCCTATTAAGATACTAAAAAACATAATTTAGAATAGTCTTCATTGTAGGTAGGAGAAACTTATTTTAAAACTTGGTCTTTTTGCTTTCATCATAATATGGAGATTATCTCTTGACTCTGGTATCTTCCTCTACTCTCCTTACAAGAATTTCCTCCCAATACTATTTCCTTCCTTACCAGTAGCTCCAATTTCTCATAAAGTCCTTCTTTTTTGCCTTTAACACAACAGTTTCCACCATCTTAGAAAGACATTTAAAAGCCGAAAGATTCCGTTCTTATTCTTTGACAGTGATCTGTAACTGCTGCCTCCACCTAACACCCCTCAGTCCCTTCCCTTCCTGCAACCAGCTGACAACCTCTGACTCAAAGTAGCTACAGAAAACGATCAAGGACTACTTCCTTGATTTTCTCAGCTTTTCTTAACGTTTGCCTCTTCTCACTCACTGAAACCCTACACTGTGTTTTCATGGCAGGGATCTGATGTTACCTCTTTTTCTATACAAAGACTGTTTTCTATCTCTTCATTTCACTGGTTCCTCTTTCCTTTTTCAAACCTGGCTGGGTAGTTTCCAAGATTTCCTGAGTTGTTCTTTGTAAAACATCATTTAACAAGCCTATCAAGTCTTATGCCTTTACTATTACCTTCTGCAGAAAAATCACAAATATGGCAAGCTCTGGTCTAAGGTCTCATTAGTCTCTGCTGCAGTATTTCCAAAGGCATCTCCCAGAAAATGTACTGTTACCTCACCCGAAATGTCATATACGGAACAGGAAACCTATCTCCTCCATTAGGGGCAGGAGTTCATCATCCTATTAGATAGCATCTAACACAGACTGCTGAATAGTCTATACTATAGAACCCTAAAGTAATAGTTTCTTATAAGTGTACAGTACATTAAGACATGTTTGATTTTACTTTATTCCTAGATTCAGTATTGTCTTGCATCAGCTATTTTACTTTTAATAAATTAACACTGATTTTGCTGATTACTATGCTCAAATACTGACCTTCCTGTTAAAATTTACTTGCTGATCTAAATGCATACACCAGTTGCCCAATACTGAACTTGTTTTTAAAAATAAAACATAAATTTCTACTTCAAAAATACTACAATATTAACCAACTCTCCTTTTTCAGTTACGTGTCCTGCAACATTCCTGATGGTTTATTTTGATAAATTAACAATTTAAACATAAGACAGCTGATTAAATATGAATTCAGATAACAGGCAAAGAATAAAACTGAAAATCACAGTGAGAAATATAACAAAGAAACAATTCCAAAAGATTCTCCTGGTTCACAAAACCCAGCATTTTCTCTTTAGTATTTACTCTTCATTCTTTTGCTCTCTAAAAATCTCTTATGGGGAAATTCACTGGTGATCCAGAGGTTAGGACTCTGCTTCTACTTCAGGGGGCACAGGTTCAATACTTGGTTGGGGAACTAAGATCCCCCGCACGCCTCATGACTCAGCCAAATGCAACAAAACAGTTTTGATTATGATAATCATTTGATTATCATTTGATAATCAAAATTGTTATGATTATCTAACAATATTCTGGCAGAATTCAACAGATTTGGATTTTAAATATAAACTCTATGCAATTTCTCACACAAAAAACAGGAGAACATATCATGCTAAATTATTTAATGAATAAAGAATGTTTACTTATTAGCACAGTATCAGATGTGTAGTAGATGTTTACTAAATGCTGTTTTTCCCCTTTGTTGTTTTTAGTAAAATGCTTTAGTCCCTAAAAGTAAATAACTAAACTTATATGACTACATTTAATTTAGCAAAATATAGCACTTCAAAATAAAAATTAATAAATAAATATAAAAGGATATGTGGAAATAAAAAACCAAACCATCACACACTTTTTTAAACAGAATAAAAGCAACACAGACCTTTCTGTATCCTGGCAACTAGTGGGCAACTGCAAGGCTGCAGCCTTACTCTCATTTCTAACACCCATTTTTACTGTTTGCTTATGCAACTTAGATGCATATTAACTAAAACAGTAAGCACAGAGGAGCAAACAGTTGGACAATTTAATTGGAATATACTTTCGCTGTTCTATCAGACCCTCACTTCAATCCCCAGAATCAATGACCATACTTACTAAAAGCAAATCACATGAAAAACATCATGAATGCTGAGAAGTTTACAAGAAGGCCCCTTCTAGCTAAGGGTTACAATCCAATTGAGGAGGTAATCTACATTTATATTAAAACCACACACATACACCCTTCTCTGGTCTACAGCTGAAAACAGAAAAAACTTGAGCAAGAAGTAGCAGTTCAAATCCACCTTCAAGAATTAGAGGAAATTTTGACAAAGAAACAAAGAAAATGATTTTTCAGAATAAAAAAAGTAACACACGATAAGACGCAGTCCAGAATGTCTTGTCTGACTAAAAGAAGCGCTTTGAGGTAAAAAGAATACAAGAGGGACTCAAAGAGCCAGCTTCAGGTAGATATTACCTGATAGCCAGC